ACACATACAAATGGGTTTATAAGGTGAAACAACTGAGATAATTTAATGTTATCAGGCTTCCCGGAATTTACGCTTAAATAAAATATACTTGGTAACCCCAAGGTGGAAAATGAAAAAATTTGAAGCAAGGGTTTTTAGTTTTCTTGCTCTATTACAATGGAATAATGTTCCTGTATTCATCAAAAGTGTTTTAAATCTAGAAAGAAATCATACCTATTTAAAGTAGCTAAGTCTCAATATCATCCAAAGTCTTCGACATTGAAAACACGAATTATTTGTCAATTTAAATCAACATTGATGTTGTGGTCTTACCGGGAAATGATGGGCTTCTGATATCCAATATTTAAGACAAAATAAACATTTTACCATTGGTACACAAATCATGTACCATAATGCGTTTTTACACCATTCGTAACAAGGTCAAGGGACTCGAAGAACGCGGCTAGACATATTGCACAAGTCATTCAAATAGTGACGCCATATTCTTATCTCAAGAGCATGCACAATAAATACTATCGGTGTAGACTGGAATAACCATACGCTAGAGATTGACATTTGATCGAGACTTCTGGCGTATTTCGCCGAACATAACTGATTAGAAATTACAGTAAAAACAGAAACGATTGAATGTAAATATGTTTATATACATTCATATTACATTATTATATGCGTTGCGACCCATTTGTGTCAATTTCTAGGTCCCAAATATTAGCGATTTAGATCCTTTAAACTGTTCTAAACTTAGTATGATTGAATATTGTTCTGGTATTAAAAATCCAATCTTACACTGAGATCCTTTCCAAGTTAAATCCTTTCCAAGTTAAATCCTTCCAATAAATCCTTCAAATTACAAGCTGGACTTTCCTTTCCAGTGAATATATTTTATATGTTTGTGGTATGTCTAGTTGTATATGATGTGACCCAAGACAAACTGACCACATAAATTAATAGATTATATTAAAACTTGTTTTATACTCTATCTCTATGTTTATATGTTTACTTTGTTCAGACAGGCCCTTTATACAAACCCTTTAATCTGTCACAGAACATCCATTATTATTCTATTTTATCTTATCTATATACACTGCAGGGATCAAACACGGCCCCTTCAGGTTACACTGTAATCCACGCATCATTTAATCTTGTGTATATAGCACTAATTTCTTTCACATTCGTTTAATATCCAATCTTTGTTTAAAAATTCGTAAAAACTGTTCAAAATCACCATAAATCGTTTAATTTGTACTTCTATCCAGTTTAAAGCTGACCATTCAATTTTGATAATAAGTGTCCAATTTACAAGTGTTTAATTTCTTGATCACTGTTAAATTATAAACAACCCAATTGATTAATGATGTATAATGATTATTTTTTGAATAGTGGTCAGGAAATAAAATACTTGTAAATTGGACACTCATTATCAAAATTAATCAGTAAGCTTTAAACTATACACAAGTACAAATTAGATGATTTTTGGAGATTTTAATCATTTTTTACGAATTTTTAAACAAAGATTGGATATTAAACGAATGTGAAAGAAATTAGTGTTAGATACACAAGATTAGATGATACCTGGGTTACAGTGATAGATCTAGCATCATTTAAAGGGACCACTCTCCTATATAGAGCTAGCATCATTTAAAGGGACCACTCTCCTATATAGATCTAGCATCATTTAAAGGGACCACTCTCCTATATACAGACCTAAAATCATTTAAAGGGCCCCCTCTCCTATACAGGCCTAGCATCATTTAAAGGGACCCCTCTCCTATACAGGCCTAGCATCATTTAAAGGACCACTCTCCTATACAGAACTATATAGCATCATTTAAAGGTACCACTCTCATATACAGGCCGAGCATCATTTAAAGGGACCATTCTCCTATACATTTTATAGCATCATTTAAAATTTTCAGATTGTTAAAAAAAAATTTCTCTTGAAGTACATCTAATTCCAAGACGGGCTGTGGAGGGGCAGTGAATTTTTAGGGGGTGGGGGTTTTGCGGGTGGTTCTTGGCTTAATCCAGGGTCTTCCCCAAGAAAATTTTGAAAATTGGATGGGTAATTGAGTACAGAATATATGGGAGATAGATGTCAGAGCATAACCAATAGTATGTAATGTATAATACCATCCCCAAATCAATACTCGGTAACTCCATATAATGATCCCTGACTGATCTCTTACAATCAGTAGGTCGGCTGGCTATGGGTCTAATGTTTCTGATAACAAATATTTTTTCACCATATAAGTTTTCCAATCAATGGTATGTAGTTTTGATCGTGACTATTGAAGAATACATCTGTCCATTATTACTGTATTCTAGACTGACGTTTCTCACATGAATGAAATTTTATTTAAATCAATACAAATATAGTATCGGATTGATGTTAAAATCAAAAGAACATAGCCCAGGGCTTCTGTATTCAGTCATATTTTACAAGACTTGACTGACATTGTATTATACCTGTCAGTCACTTGACCAAACAACGAAATAAAAACAGCTAAACTTCAATTTATATTTTTTTATATTTTTGTACAAGAACTGATTTATTATATAAACGGGGATAATGCCAAAATATTGAAGTGACAGCACTGGTATAAATGGTGCAGACATTGTTCCCATAGCAGTACTGATAATTTGTGTTTAAAGAGAGAGAGAGAGAGAGAGAGAGAGACAGACAGACAGAGAGAAATGGGGTTTAAAGTCCCCTCACACAAACAAGCTCATTTCGAGATTAACATATGGTTCAATTTTATTTCAATAACTGTGTTTAGAAATCTTGAGATTTATCTTATAGTATAATCCTTTAGTGGTATTTAGTGTCAGTTTTGTTAACTTATAGTACTGTCAGTCTAGTATATTAGATTGGCGTATAGCTCTGTTGTTTGGAAATGAAATGAAATGGGGTTTAACGTCCTACTATTTTGCTCCGACTGGGCTAATGAAGATGGGCATACACCATACAGTGTGCTATGAGGGAAATTTTGCCTGGGCAGTGGCACTGTTGCCTACTCTAGTATCGAATTCCAACTGCCAAGGGATCTTTTACATGCACGCCAATGTATACACAGGACCTTGGTTTTTCATACCATACAAACGACTAGACATCTGTCGTCAGGCCCTCTCTCCTGCACCACTGACAAGAGGAAACCAAGTCGGAAATTCTGATGAACATTCTTGGCCAATGTAGGGATTCTACTCTTTGGAACTTTAACAAGACAAATATGGGTCTATAAGCACATTATTAATGTGAAATGAATAACTGATTTACATTCAATTCTTAATTGAAGTGAAATAAGTATGTAAGTACAACAAATTGAAAATTAGGTTTGTACTGGGTTAGTCCAATTTACAAGTTTATCTCTTTCCCTTTTTTGTCATTTTTAATGTGATGAAAGTTTGTGACAGAGCCCGAGGAACATAATAGTGCACGTGCAAAACGTGGTATCATTGTGTTGCATGGTTTTCCAATCGAGGCTCACTACTTATCAATCACCCCTCGAACTACCTTATGCTAAAAAAACAATGCACAATGTGTCGAGTGGACATTAAATCCTATTCCCCTCTTTCATACTTACAGTAGATATGTACATTTGCATAAAAACAACATTCTTTTTACATTAAAATAGTAGAGAACATGTTTACTCTTTGAGAAATGTGATCACTCAAGTTTTAAAATTTATTATACTATATCAGAATGTGCTGGTTTGTAAACATTGTATACAATATATAATGTGTTTTATTTATTACATGTATAATGCCAAGTGTGAATTAGACAGGTAACCATTATAGATTTTATATCATAGTTTGTCATACAAATATATATACATAGTTGAAAGTATGCATTATTGTGTATACACCATATATATATCTAGTACGTTCTATTAAAACCATAGATTAACCTCTACAAGAGGAGTGTTCATTAATAAACATTCATGGTTTATACGTAGTATTCCACGCATTCATATATCAAGAAAAAATATACGCAATTACACAATGTTCACGATTTTTACCAGGTATTTCTTATCCTCATGACACACGTAATTATTTTTTTATTATAAATACGTTTTATATATACACATACAGGTATGCCTACAATTGTTTTATACATGAATGTCATTTATTTAATTGTATACTTTTTCCTGTATCCGTTTTTTATGCAATAAAATTTGTCTTCTTGTATCTGTTTTTATGCAATAAAATTTATCTTATCTTCCTCCATGTACATGTATGAAAAACTTTACAAATATAATGACATACTTTCAGGCCTGGAAATAACGGTTTTAGATGTGCCTGACAAAATGTCGGACATTAATGAAATAGTACCTGACATTTTCAACTTAGTGTCGGACGTGTATTAATAATATCAGCAAAAACGACAAATCAGTGCCGGACAAAATGACAGGCACTGACAGGCACCAGAGGTTTAGTGACTGAATCTGTGTCAGACATTGTCTGTGACAGGAGAGGAGTGGTATGTGCTGTTCTTTAAAGAGTAAAAATTCCCTGTCTCACGCATGACACATAGCCTATTTAAATTGATATGACAGTTTGGACTTGGAATTCTGAAGACAAAGTTACTTTGTAGAAGTCAAAAACCTAAATCAAATATGTGGAAACTGTAATGAACTATACAGGAGTTGTCGTTGCTGTCACGACAGTTAAGATGCCGGTTTCGCCTAAAAGCGTGAAGGCTCCTCGATAGAAAACACTGGCACTTTTATAATAATATGACCATCTGAATGGCATATATCTGTCATGATACTGTCATGGTCTTGCCCAATCTCTGGATCTGTCATAAATTTCACTAAAATGTTTATGATTATATACAAAGTGATGAATGATGGACCTCAAAAATCTTTGTACCTGCCTTAATAAATCATTAACAAACTTGTTTCCTTGGAATCTAAGATTTTTTTTATGTTTTCTTACTGAACCAGAATAACCTGATAGGTCAGTCATGCTGAAATAAAATAAAATAAAAAGGCTGTCCTCACCTGTGTCTGTGGTCAGACTGTTTTGAGAATTCATCCGATTTAGACACCGGAGATAGGCGCTTCCATAAAATTGAGATGTCATGTTGTTTTTTTTGTCGACCGGTCTGTTGTAAACTTCCCTGATCAGATGTTTATATAATCACAGAAATGTTCCCTAGGCACAGAGACAATTCATTCAAATGGGAATATTAATCCATGCACATTCAAAATATATCCAGGCACAACTTAACGCCTTTCGTTAACAGAAACTTGTGTCATTTGTGCAAAAGATATTACGAGCGCCGATCCCATTTGTTAGTGTTTTGAACACCTACGTCGTCGGTATCATACGGTTAGATTACTATACAGCGTTACACTGTATAGTCTAGCTACCAACCCACATTCAAATCTCCCTATCTATTGACCCATTTAGTAGGTCAGGTGTAACACATTATTTTGGCAAGACACCTCAATAACAGACATTACGACAAGCGAACCCCTCTCGCCATAGCGGACGACAACCGATCACAGAGACATCTAGTGATCAGTCAATACTGAACAATGGGCTATAACTCTGGGTTTTTTCGATCGATTTTATGAAGAACCAGCTTGAATTTGAGAACGTGCTGTCGTGAGGATGTTTGCTCCAAACAGCATCATGTGCAGGTTAAATATATATACCTATCTACAGGGGCGGATCCAGGAATTTTTGCAGGAGGGTGTTTTCCCGGTTCCTAAGAAAATGTATCTCCCCCCCCCCCGGCTTGAAATTTGTTGAGAAATAAATGGTCTCTATCGTCATTTTGGCGTATATACATACACATTGATCTTTTTAAACAGAGAAATCTAACATCCTGTTTGACGTTAATTTTTATTATGGATTAATACGATGACATTGTGATTCAATTTTATTGATGCAATTTAAAGCATTGTGATATCACATGTCTATATCATTATCTCGCGCTTTGAGTGCCCATCCTGTCGCATCATCTGACGATAAAGGATAAAGCAAAATTATCACACTTTTCTCATAAAAAAGGTTGGTTTACAAAAAAATTTATGTAGCTGAGCAGGGGTGGGGGGAGTTCAAAGGAAATAATTGAGGTTGATTATGCTCAATTTTTTCGAAATACCTTATACCCATTTAATTTAAGCTGTGTATATTCTCAAACATTCGTCTAGTTCACACAACCTACAAATCGAAAATCACCTTTTGTTCAGTTTTCATGACTTCAACAACCAGCTCGTGTAGCGAGCAATTGTGGCTCAGGGCCCTGTTTCACGAAATTTTAACTAAAGATAAAATCCAAATTTTAGTAGATACTTCAATTTTGATTGGCTAAGCACTAAAATCAATCTAATATTATCCAATCAAATTACTAAAATTTGGATTTTATCTTAGTTAAAATTTCGTGAAAAAGGCCCCAGGTTCTTACGCAGCATTGGGGTGACACCTATTTTCCTTGTCAGTAACGCGGGGCGCAGGACCTACCACGGAACATTATCTAGGCCTCCCGAGGTCCCGCGCACACGCTCGAGGGCACGTAAAAGACCTTTATGTCCGTCTTAGATAGTACAAAAATAGGAGGTAAACCCCCGTGTCATTTCATTTCCAGCTCAGCCGTAAAATAATCTTTGTCACTTCGGATTGAGTAAACACAATACAACAATATGAACATGACGTTGTTTTAAATACAATTATCGGTCGCTCTTGGCAATTTATATACACTGTTAAAAATATCGGCATTTAAAAACTTAAGTAATGTAAACTTTACACAGTGTTTCAAAATGTGAGACCCCTAAAAGTGCAACTCGCTGAACGAGCTACGCCCAAATATCGTTGGGGTCGCCTGTCCAACCTCGTGGGTTTTCCCCGGGCCCCCCGGTTCCCTTCCACAGCTAATTGGTAAGCCAATTATTGAAATAAAATTGACCATATGTTAGTCCCGAAATGACCTAAGTTGTGTTGAGTGGAAGTTACCTCTCTCTCTCTCCCCACACACCCAACAATCGTAATTGTACAAGCAGAAGGATGCTGAAGGATATTTTGGATGCACTACAATCCTACTAAATACATGACTGACAAAAGACAAGTCGGACCAACAGAATACCATTCGAATCAACACAGAAGATCACTCGGACCAAGCCACGGTCCGAGACAGCAGACCAGCCGGACCAAGACACCGTCCGAAACAGCAGTCCAGTAGGACCAAGACATGGCCCGAGACAGCAGTCCAGTCGGACCAAATTAAGATGAAAGACTTCTCAATATATTGTTATTTATTTAATTAATTAATCTTTATTACATCCACAAATCATTTTTATATATATCCATAATTTCGCTGCCGCCTATGCTTCATATGCTGCATTTACACAAAAAGGTTAAATTATTAACGGGGACAATTCCCAAGACAGCGTCAACTTTAGACCATTAATGTGTTGTAAAAAACGTTTGTATCTCTACAATTAGCGTTAATCGCTTTAGAGCAGTGGTTCTCAATATTTTGTTGCCGACGGCACACCTTGGAACACATGAAAATATAGCGGCACACCTGGCTGAATATATTTGAAAAAAAAATTGAATTTTAATGTGAAAAACTATTTGAATTTTGCAAAATAAAAACATGTCAAGTCATAGACGACAGACTAGTCATAAACACATAGTATGACTCAAACTAAATAAAGAAAAACACAGCTATGAACTTACGTTATTGCAGTGTTTTGAATTTCATCAGTCAAATAACTGGCTTCTTTAGAAAGAAATTTTCTTAATGCGCCGTTCAAAATTTTGCGGCACACTTAGCAAGGTCTCGCGGCACACTCACTACTTTAGGGCCTAAGGAATATGTTCGTTGTTTTTAGCGTGCTTTATATTTAACTTCTCTAAAACACAGTGGCGGCGCCAGGGGGGGGGGGGGCGGTGGGTAAGGGGGCATTTGCCCACCACCCATAAATCTGGCCTGCCCTCTGTTTGCCCCCCCCCCTCAATAATTATAGAAAATAAGAAAAAAAAAGTATTGGTGATACATTTCGGTAATCAATACCCTCTACAGTGATTAAATCCCACATCCCCACACATTCATAGACTTGCATGTTGTAGAGTCTGAGTGATTTCTTACCAAGCCCATCCTGCTGTAAACAATAACACGTGAAGTGCTTTTTACGATCTTCAAAGTTTTTGGGTATAGGTCAACCCTGCGAGAATATGCATTCTCTTGATACACTCACTCCGTTCGTTTAACGCCGCCCTCTCTATTCGGCTATTTTTCAAAATTTTCTGTGGATGGTCTCCCGTTTGGCGCTCGTGATAGGGCTTTGTCGCGGTTCACAAGTCCGTTAGTTTGACACTTTACCTCAACGATCAGTGCATGAACTACTGCCAGGCTGCATTTCCGGCAGCCTGTTTTTCAAAATTGTCTGGAGGAGACCTCACCCTACCCCTAGTTGAAACTCGTGCCTTTGCCCCTATAACCTTGGACTTTGGCCCAGCTTTGCCCCTCCAACCACCGACGGCTGGCGCCGCCACTGCTACCACAGAAACTATAAATTACATCCATGACCGACTACGCCACATCATAAATCTAATCTCTAGGTGTTCACGTATTGATTGTTTAAATATTTACACTCATTGTGTATTTATAACGGTTTCCAATTGCAGAAGATCAATAAATAAAGTTTGAACCAGTCTGGGCGACATGTGTAATTTTAAAGTCACTGCTGACTCAATTCACAGACGATCTAGTGACGATTAGGTATGTAAAACAGCCTACAACCTGTGGATAAATACCCTGGAACAGATGAGTATTGCTTGTTGGTGATTAGGTATGTACAAAGTACTCGAAGAACAAAATTCCACCTTGGACACATTGTTTAGTTTTTGTATCCGAACTCAACATTGTAAAAGTGTCTTATTATTATAATAATTACAGCATATTATTAGTGCACCCTTTCATATAATATTTTCAGGGGCACTTTACAAAGTAACAATGTAATCATAAAAAAACAACACGATTATGGACATGTTAACGATTGTATACAGAGTCAGTTAAAAGCCTGATTAAATAAATGTGTTTTAGGTTGTTTTTTTAAAAGAATATCTTATTTGAGTTATTTTCAAATATACACACTGTAAAATATACACACTGTAAAATTATAAGAAAACATAGTATAATATTTAATATAATTCACGATGAAAGTCCCCGGATACCAAACTTGACAAGACTGTGTGAACAAGCCTGGAAATAAGGCACCTGTCACAGACAATGTCAGGCACAGCTTCAGGCTTTGTCAGGCACTAAACCTCTGGTGCCTGTCATTTTGTCCGGCACTGATTTGTCTTTTTTATTGATATTATTAATACATGTCCGACACAAAGTTGAAAATTTCAGGTACTATTTCATAAGTGCATGACAGAGAGAGAGAGAAATGGGGTTTAACGTCCTCTCGACACAAACTAGGTCATTTCGGGACTAACATATGGTTTAATTTTATTTCAATAATTCGCTTGAGCATAGGGATCTTTAGCAGTGGGAGGAAACCGGAGGACCCGGAGAAAAAGTGCCTGACATTTTGTCCGGTACATCAAAAATCGTTATTACCAGGACTGTGTGTGAAGATCAAATATTTACTCCACACACAGTCTTGTCAAGTTTGTTGCCTGGGTATTTTTATTATGATTTTTATTAACAAGGGATGGTTTCTGTTCTTCCTCGACTACTTCACTGAGATACAAAAGTTGCCTGCACTGTTATAGAGATTCTCACGCCCTTCTTTTCCTTTTTGAGAAAGATTTTTTTTTCGTCTCTTTTTTTTTGGTATTTAATATATTTATTACATAATATTATTAGCCCAACTATCCACCATGTAAGCCTGATTTGGTATGTTGACGCGGTTGGCGGGGTAATTGATCAGTGACGAGTCGGGACGCTACGGTTCAATTGCTTGTTATGTTGATTAACTGGTGGAAATGAAATGGGGTTTAACGTCCTACTGTTCTGCTCCTAAACTGGGCTAATGAAGACGGGGATCAGCTGGTTGAGGTATCGGTTGAATGTTGTAAAGATTTGTTTGGGATGCTCGATTTCAGTGGTTTGTGAGTGTGGTGATAATTGCTTTCATGGTGTCAGACCGGTGGTTGGATTTGTAATGGAGCTACTGATCGATGTGCTTTGGTCTCCTATAATCTGAAGTTTGGAGTATTTTGTTGTTTCTCCAGACAATGACATAGGGAAAGGGAAGGCTGTTCTGTCTTTATATTTCCATGGTGAACTTAATATCATTATGCATCTGTGCGTTGAGGTGGTCCAGTAACGTCTCTTGCTGTACAGTCCTCCTGTATTATTTGTTCTCCCTGCCTCTTGTTGTACAGTTTTCCTGTATTACTTGTTCTGTCTATCTGCTGTTGTACAGTCCACCTGTATTATTTGTTCTGTCTATCTGTTGTTGTACAGTCTGCCTGTATTATTTGTTCTCCCTGCCTCTTGTTGTACAGTTGTCCTGTATTATTTGTTCTGGCGATCTCTTGTTGTACAGTCCACCTGTATCATTTGTTCTGTTTATCTCTTGTTGTACAGTCTGCCTGTATTATTTGTTCTCCCTGCCTCTTGTTGTACAGTTGTCCTGTATTATTTGTTCTGGCTATCTCTTGTTGTACAGTCCACCTGTATTATTTGTTCTCCCTGCCTCTTGTTGTACAGTTGTCCTGTATTATTTGTTCTGGCTATCTCTTGTTGTACAGCCCTCCTGTATTATTTGTTCTATCTGTTGTTTTACAGTCCACCTGTATCATTTGTTCTGTTTATCTCTTGTTGTACAGCCCGCCTGTATTATTTGTTCTGTCTATCTGTTGTTGAACAGTCCACCTGTATTATTTGTTACAGTTCAACTGATGTAAGGTAAAAGGAAGAAGACGGTTAAAGATGGGTTGTGGCTCCAGTAAATCGCCAGATGAACCATTACTAGAAGAGGTAAATGGGGTTTAACGTCCTAATGAAGACGGGCATACACCATACAGTGTGCTATGAGGGAAATTTTGCACGGGCAGTGGCACTATGGCCTACTCTTGTATCGAATTCCAACTGCCCAGGGATCTTTTACGTGCACGACAATGTATACACGGGACCTCCGGTTTTTTTTTTTCCGCACCCCCACCCCCCATTTTTTTTTTTTATATTATTTTTTTTTTATCATTTTATACATGCATCAGTTCATTTATATCCCATTTATTAAACTTTATTTTTCAATATTTTAAATATAATTTTATATTCTCTTTATCACCTCTTCACTTATTTTATATAGAGCTTTACGATATAAATCATCTGACATTACTTATATTACTTATAAATTATTTATTATTGTATATACCATTTCGCAATCTTGTTTGTATTAAATAATGTCTATCATTTCTATGTATGGAAAGGGCTTTTCTAAGTTTTTGAAACTTGTGCTCAATCCTTTTGATATTTGTCAATAAAATATGTTTAAACAAAAAAAAAACTAGACAGCTGTCCTTGTCAGACCCTCCGTCTTGCACCACTGACAAGGGGAAACCACGTCGGAAAATTCAGATGAACTTTCTCGGCCAATGCCGGGATCAAATATGTGACCTCCATGCTAGGCCACCGTGGATCCACTACATGAGGTAGATTCAGTAACCATTATCTTTGTTTTAAAGATTATCAAAAACCTGAACCCAGCAAAAATAAATCAGTGAACTAGTCAATGACCACACATGTCAAAATTCGACTTTAAAATCCGGTGTGTTGAGTAATTCCATGACTATTCCCGAATGGATTAACTTAGTTTAAATAGATAAATAGATCACTCATTATAAAATACACCAAATGAGTAGTATATAGGGCACTTTGCGTTTGTTTCAGTTTCCTGTATACGACACCGAAGACGGATATCCTCCACCAAGACCGCCCGCCAACCGGAAGGAGGAATGTTTCGATTCAAGAAAGTACACGGACATCGACTCCAACGCTATAAAGGTAAATATGACCAGTGAACAACGGTAACATTAATAATTATCATATTCGCCATTATTTACTTAAATTTACAGAAGTTGACCAGAACTGTGTGTACTCCCCCCCCCCCCCCAACCCCAAACCCAAACCCCAACCACCACACAGAGATATACTATAAACATTGTTATATATCCCTATATCGGTATATTGTTCTATTCTCGTATTTTATCTTTAAAAATTTGTGTATTTTATTTTGTGTGTTTATTTAGGCTGTGGCTTCTCCACAATCCACGTATGATAGCTTATTAGGGGAGATAACTCGTGGATGTACTACAGATTTACAGAAACTACGAGCAGTATACATGTGGTTGGCAGTCCAGAAGATAGAAAGTGAGAGTTATCCTAAGATCTATGATAATTCCACCCCCAGAGGTTACATGAAAAACATTAAACACAAGAATGGTACATACACAGATTTCTTTACTCTACTCTGCAGGTAAAAACATTTCTATCGGAATATCGTAATTATTGCAGTTGCCACCATATAAAGAAAACTTGATGACCCAGTTCACTCCAGGCGATAAGGTCATCACCCATTCTCTCACACTGATCCGCAGTGAATATTCGCTAGGCCGTGACAATCACTGATAAGGATGACATCGATGCGACTTAATGAGCCACAAATATTACTTTTTTCCTCCGACAAATAAAATTCTAAAACATATTTTTTTATGTATTAGAAAAATAAATAAAGACGTTTGAAGTATTTGTAGGTAAAAATTATTTCTTATTTTAGTATAAATGGGTATTAAAATAAGTAAAAGGAGCCATTCTGCTCGAATCAGTAACGTCTTATGTAAACAATGCACGCGCCATTGAGTCGATGATTGACGCCGCGTGATGTGTTGAAGGCAGTCATCTTTTACAGAAATATTAGAAGACTTTCGTAATACTCTGTGAAACAGATTGCCATCCTCTGTCTCATTTGCAAGGTGGGTTTGTTCTAGAATAAACATTTTAAAAGTAATATTTCAGAGCTGCCAGACTACCGTGTGTTATTGTGAGGGGAAAAGGGAAATCTCTGGATTATGAAGTTGGCGACCAGGATTTTACCAACCTCAACAGCCGATGGACAGCGGTATACGTAGATGGGTCGTGGAGGCTTGTTCATCCATTGTGGTCATTCCGTGCTGTGGCTGGATTCAGTAAGGGCAACTGGATTCTGATCGAGGATGAGGGACAAGCCGTCAACAGAAAAGAATCAGAATCGTCCGGACATGACGTCACGGGATTAAACGAATTTTATTTCCTCACTGATCCCGATGAATTTATCTATATATGTCGTCCTGATAAAGATCCATGGCAGTTGTTAGCTCAACCTTGGTCGATGGACAAATATATAAATATTCCTTACTGCCACCCGCTCTTCTTTCAATTCGGTTTAAAACATGATGAAGATCTCAAATGCATTCTCAAATCACAGAAAGGAAAATGTTGGATTGATATCATGCATTCGGAGAACGTCGATCCAACATTTAAATACGAACTGTTCTATAACGAAAATGAATCTCGTCGTCAAGCTCCCACTGATAAACGACTGGATAAATTTGTCGCTTACAACAACGAAGTGGATTCGAAGGGCGTTGTTATTCGATTTCCAATTGAAGGCGTTTTTAAAATAGTATTTAAGGGACTCTGCGAGTTTAAACTAGAATGTGATGAAATCGGTGAAACTGTCGACGAATTTCCAAATAATCCCGAATTTGGCTATGGACAGGGAACAACTGCCAAGAAGAAGGGAATAAACTCCGCAAATCCGACAAATGGTTTTATTTCATGTGAACGATCTGAGAGAAAAACCTTTAGTTTAAATGTTGATGACCCGGCAAAGGTTACAACTACCTTAAAGAGCGGAGATAACAAAATAGATTTCTCTGATCACGTGACACAAGATATTTCCGGAAATAGAGTGAATATTGACGTCATGATGCCGGATAACCCGGATGTTACAGATTGTGTGTTACAGATTTTAGTTGCCAGTAAACCCGCCCTCAATTACCTTTTAAGTACTGACAAAATAGTCAATGAAAGCGTAAGTAATAGTTTTACAGTTTATAAATTTCAATAAATGAAATGAAATGAAATGAAATGGGGTTTAACGTCCTACTGTTCTGCTCCTAAACTGGGCTAATGAAGACGGGCATACGCCATACAGTGTGCTATGAGGGCAATTTTGCCCGGGCAGCGGCACTATCGCCTACTCTCATATCGAATTCCAACTGCCAAGGGATCTTTTACGTGCATTCCAATGTATACACGGGACCTCGGTTTTTCGTCTGATCCGAAGGACTAGACAGCTGTCCTTGTCAGGCCCTCCGTCCTGCATCACTGACAAGGGGGAACCACGACGGAAAATCTGGATGAACTTTCTCGGACAATGCAGGGATCGAACACCCGACCTAAATTTCAATAATAATATCCTCATAATTATTTGGTGTAAGATGCAAGGGTTAATGATATCCTCATAATTGTTTGGTGTAAGATACAAGGGTTAATGATATTCTATAATTGTTTGGTGTAAGGTACAAGGGTTAATGATATTCTATAATTGTTTGGTGTAAGGTACAAGGGTTAATGATATTCTATAATTGTTTGGTGTAAGATACAAGGGTTAATGATATTCTATAATTGTTTGGCGTAAGATACAAGTGTTAATGATATTTGATAATAAAAAAAATAAATTCTTCTTTTAGTCTCAGTTGTCTGGATATTATTATTATTATTGTTATTATTACAGGAGAAGGAAGATCCAGTGAGAGACTCGCTGATCGAGGCTACTAGAGGAACGGATATAGATAATCTGCAACGAGCAATAAATCAATTTGAAAGTGAAGGACTGGAAGATGAAGGCGATCTGACCAGAGCCAAGGCCAGACTGCAAGAACTTATAGAAGGTACTAAATTGTGAGCCGATTATTTGTTCATTTGAACCAAAACGCCTGCTTCTTTCCATAGCTACACATTGGCGTGCACGTAAAAGAACCATTGACTTCCCCCATAGCACGCTGTATGGCGCATGCCCGTCCTCATTAGCCAATCAGAACATTAGGGCGTTAAACCCCATTTCATTCTTTCCATGGCCGTTTTCATGGTTATTGAAATGGTTGAGGTCCTGAGATAGACCTACGATCGACAGACGATATTGTTTGTCATCAATATTTTATATTCATCCGAGCATCTGTGGTCCCACTTAATGAACAAACCCTATTAAAATCATATTTCAATTAGATTTCTTTTTATTTATGGATGTTGTACTTTATGTGCTTGGTCGTCATTATTCCCCTGTCGTCCATTTTAATTATATTTATTCCAGTATCTGTTTTATTTCATTTTAGACCAGAATGCATCCAAAACAGATGAGGTCAGTATTCTCAATTTACCTGTAGTCGTTTAAATCTTGTGTCGCTGTTTCTCTGGGTACCATTTTTACCCCATGGTTCTTGCACAATACGGTGGGTCGCGTTCTCTTCTGTTGCTCTTCTTGTGGACAGATGGCTTGTTGTGGCCGAGAGCAGCTATTCATGAAATTTGAAATGGGGTTTAACGTCCTACTGTTCTGCTCCTATACTGGGCTAATGAAGACGGGCATACGCCATACAGTGTGCTATGAGGGAAATTTTGCCCGGGCAGCGGCACTAACGCCTACTCTTATATCGAATTCCAACTGCCAAGGGATCTTTTACTTGCATTCCAATGTATACACGGGACCCCGGTTTTTCGTCTCATCCGAAAGACTAGATAGCTGTCCTGGCTTCGTCCGTCTGTCTGTTACACTTTTTGGGACACAATAACTCTCCTTCTAATTGACCTAGAATGTTCAAACTTGGTGTAGGTGTTTATTAGGTCATTGCCTTGGTGGAGTTCGAAGATGAGCATTTTCTGCTAAGGGTAAATAGAGATAAGCAATTTGATTGGTTGTTGCTTTGGGACACCATAGCTTTAGTTCCAATTAAGTGAGAATGATGAAACTTGGTGTATAGTTTCATTACATCAATACCTTGACTACGTTCGATATTGAGCATTTTCTGCTCAGGGTTAGCAGAGCGATAAGCAATTTGATAGGCCGAGACTTTGGAACACAACAACTCTCCTTCTAATTGATCTAAAATGTTCAAACTTGGTGTAGGTGTTTATTACGTCGATGCCTTGATGTGGAGTGTGAAGATGAGCATTTTCTGCTAAGGGTAAGTAGAGATAAGCAATTTGATTGGTTGATGCTTTGGGACACGATAACTTTAGTTTTAATTAAGTGAGAGTGATGAAAATTGGTGTATAGTTTCATTACATCAGTACCTTGACTAAGTTTGATGGCGAGAATTTTCTGCTTAGGCTAAGGAGCAATAAGCGTTTTGATTGGTCAACACTTTGGAACATATCAACCCTGCTTCTTATTGAGGTAGAATGTTTAAACATGATGTAGATGTTCGTCTTGACAGAGTTCAATGATTAACACATTGAGCTAAAGCTAAGCAGAGATAGGCAATTTCCTTGGTCGATGCTTTGGGACAAGATAACTTTGATTCTATCTGATAGAGAGTGATGAAACTTAGTGTATAGTTGATAATCAGTTTGATTGCTCGATACTTTTGAAAAAATAGATCTACAATTAATTAATATGTGTCATCTATTTATTTGGGGATTTCTGCTCAGGGATTTCGGCGGGCGACATCAACCTCACTATTGGCTTGTTATTATTACAGAACGAGAAGGAAGATCCAGTAAGAGACTCGTTGATCAAGGCTACTAGAGGAACGGATATAGATAATCTGCAACGAGCAATAAATCAGTTTGAAAGTGAAGGACTGGAAGATAAAGGCGATCTGACCAGAGCCAATGCCAGACTGCAAGAACTTATAGAAGGTAATAAATTGTGACCCGATTATTTGTTCATTTGGACCAAAACGCCTGCTTCTTTCCATAGCTACACATTGGCGTGCACGTAAAACCATTGACTTCCCCCATAGCACGCTGTATGGCGCATGCCCGTGCCCATTAGCCAATCAGAACATTAGGGCGTTAAACCCCATTTCATTCTTTCCATAGCCTTTTTCATGGCTATTGAAATGGTTGAGGTTCTGAGATAGACCTACCACCGATATTCATCCGAGCATCTGTGGTCCCATTTAATGAAAACCCTATTAAAATCATATTTTAATTAGATTTCATTTTGATCATCATCGTCCATGTTAAGTAAATTTATTCCAGAATCTGTTTTATTCCATTTTAGACCAGAATGCATCCAGAACAGATGAGGTCAGTATTCCCAATTTACCTGTAGTTGTTTAAATCTTGTGTCGCTGATTCTTTGTGTACCATTTTTACCCCATGGTTCTTGCACAATACGGTGGGTCGCGTTCTCTTCTGTTGCTCTTCTTGTGGACAGTTGGTTTGTTGTGGCCGAGAGCAGCTGTTCGTTCATGACCACAACACGACGAACCTTAGTAGCAAACAAGGGTTGTACGTATTCGATGCGATCCTGTCTGTAACTTTATTGAAAGTAAAATGATAGGCATACATAATCAGAATATACAATATTCAAAAATCCTAACTGGACCTAAATAATACTTTATCATGATTTATATTAATAATTAATAATGTAATAGGGTATTATAAACTGCTTCTCTATTGTACTAACATTAAGATAATATATTTCTATTTAAAGGCATTAGATAGAAGAATAAGAGACAGACTGAAATTAGCTACTGAAGAAAGTGATATAGATGAATTAGAGGAAGCCATTAATGAATTTATAGCCAATAGATTAGAAGATAGAGGTGATTTAACAGATGCTAAACAAAGATTATTGGATCTTTACACCAGTGGTGAGTATATTTAATAATATTTCACAAATAATAATGGTACCGAATTTGATTTGGTTTCATTATGTCAATGAGAGAGAGAGAGAGGGAGAGAGAGAGGGGGGGGGGGAGTTAACGTCAACGTGCATTTAAATGATTATTATATTTATACAAGTGGTCATTTAAATAATTATTTTTTTATAATACTATATTTATACAAGTGGTCAGTACATTTAAATAAATTAATTGTTAATTATATTTCATTAAACCCAATTCTACCGAAATTAATGATCTTATACTACTGTAGACAAGCAGGATTAAACAGCATCAATCTTTGGTGGGAGGGATTATTGAACGACTCAATAACATCTCTTAATTGGCATAGAGTGTGCTATGAGATAACCTTTGCCCAGACAGCTCTACTACGGCCTACTCTTTTATCGAATTCCACCTGTCAAGGGATCTTTTACGTGCACGCCAATTGGTACACGGGACCTCGAGTTTTCGTCCTAGTCGAACGATCAGACAGCTGTCCTTGTCAGGCCCTCCATCCTGACCACTGACAAGGGGAACCCACAGCGGTATGTCCGAGGTGCTTCTCGGCCAACACCGAGGTCGAATCCGCGACCCCCAGACTAACAAGCCAGCGTCTTACTAACGGAGCCACCGTGGCTCCCTACAATTTATGAAGTTAGCTTATTTCATTCTGACTTTCTTATGTAATACTGTTATTTATTCAGCTCTTCAAATATCAACAGCCGAGAGAAAGCTTAGTACATTAGAAAACATTGTGGAACAGGCTAAAAACTCCAGGGTTTGTGGCTCCCTGGAACACTCTCAAGTCATGTTGGATGCAGAAAGAACCTTAAGACAGCTTAGACGATTGCAGAAATACCTTTCAGGGATTTTAGCAATGAAACAAACGACAGTATCTGAAATCACCAGCTACAAACGACCTAAACAGTGTATCCATGACGTCATGAAAGCTACATATCTATTACTAGGCGAGAAAGATAAAGCTTTAAATGCAAGTATTTTGGGATAGTAATAAGGTGGACGTACTAAGGGAGAAGTTTGCCGTTCGTTTCTCTCCAAGGAATCACGCCGGCCAAGTTTCAGTCATGTTTTCTGATAAAAATGTATTAAGTTTCATGAAATTTTGTTAGTCTTAATTTACATCAGGATTGGTTGTTTTTAAAAGAAAGTCTAGCTTATTTCTGCTTTAATTAAATTTACGAATAGTTTAACATTAGATTTATTTTTTATGTTTAAATACTAATTTTAATAGTAATATTATTATATTGTTTTCCTTGTTGCTATAGAGATGGGAACATATTCAGGGTTTAACCAGACGACTGGGTAAGGAGAGTTTAATCAGAAGAATAAAACAATTTGATGTAATCAATCTTCGATTACCAGTAGCCAATAAATCAGATGGATTACTAGGTTTATACGATCAAATGGTGGTACGTGAAAATAGTGCTGGGGCTGGAACATTTTATAACTGGGTGAGTCATCAGCATGGTCAGTATCATCACATCATCATCGGCATCATCATCATCATCACAATCATCATCATCGTCGTCGTAATCATCATTGTCATCATCATCATTGTCGTCGTCATCATCATCATCATCGTCGTCGTCGTAATCATCATTGTCATCAACATCGTCGTCGTCATCATCATCATCATCGTCATCGTCATCGTCACCATCATCGTTTTCATCATCAGAATAGATTAAGAACGATAATCATAATAAGGGACGGTAGCTCTATTCATTGGAACCTTAAAATGGACAAAAATGAGTCCAAACATACGTACTTATAAACATTTTATTATAATCTATTATCAATTATGTTCGGTGAAGTATGCCAATAGTCCAATTTTTTAAATTATTTTTTTTTGCCGTTCATGAATTAGGGTTATGATCGAGCGTGGGGAATTTATATGCATTTTGTTGATTCCAGCTTGTTATATGTTTTATGTATGGTGATTTTCTCCTTTTTTCTAGAGTCACAATATGATACAAGAGGTCAAAGACGGCGATTCCTAAATAATACAGCGCCATGTTCAAATTTATTTATCTGTTCATACAATGTTAATATATATCTGATGGACTATATCACCGACTTTATCTGTCTCATATAATGTCTATATCTGTCTCATATAACATCTATATCTGTCTCATATAACATCTATATCTGTCTCACATAACATTCTTGTGGGAGTTCGATTTTCGTGTGGTCTAACGCGTGCGCTTTAAATTGTGGGCTTTGCTTCAAGTAGTGTGACCTCTATCCCAAACTTGTACTAAAAATGCGTAAGTTCGCCTATCGTCGCTGTTTCATATGTTAGTCCCCAAATGGCTTAATTTCTATCGAGTGTACGTTAAACACAATTCTCTCCCTTGCTGGAAATTCTTGGATAAATTATCCTTGTTGAGTACATATCATTAATGTAATTCACATTTCAAAACTTGTTGTTATTACTTGCAAATCATGTTCCTGAAGCAATGACCCGACCAATATCAGTTTGGGATTAGGACAAACGAAACACTGTGAAAGGGATTCGATTTATGTATATTTCGATTTGAACGATTATGAAAAACTAAAAACAAAATGTGGAATTAATGAACTTAATATTACCAATCTGAAATTAGTGTTTTAATTATCTGTTATTATAATTCTATCTGTGATATTTTGTATTTTATTAAACTATTGATCTAAAGTTGACGTCTTGTCATATTCTAACACTATATGAATAGATAACATAAATCTACTTCAATCACAGCAGCAGGGTGTTAAAGGCACTGACCCCCGACCCAAGGAGATACCACGTAGCACGGTGCGAAAAGCAGTGACCCCCTATCCAGGAGATACCACAGGAGCACGGGGCGAAAAGCACTGGCCCCCAACCCAAGGAGATACCACAGTAGCAGGGTGCCAAAAGCACTGACGCCCTATCCAGGATAGATTATGGTCCGTGAGATTCTCTAGCCCGGTTTCCTCTTGCTAGTGCGTGCATGGCGGATACTCTGGGAAGGACAGTTATTCGGTAGTCTCGGTCACCCAGAACCTCCTAGTCTTCAACGTACGGAGGGTCTGGGACCGTTGTCAATATTTGACGAAATGTCCATTGCCCATGCGTTACCGGGAGTTTGTTTTTTTATGTGGTTGAATATACAGTATCTTTGGCCAAGTCATGTAAGAGTTGCGCCCCTTTCCGCAATAAATCCCAAATTTTTGCATTAATGTAAAAAAAAACATGAATCGTGAAGACGAAGTAGGATTAATTTAAAAAACATAAACATGGCCCATGTTTTACAATAAAAAAAAATTAAAGAGTGTTGGATATTTAACTGACAATGCAATCAAATAGATTTTATGAAATGGCATTCTTAAATTAATTCATCGGCGTCAACATCTTGTTTTAGGACTAGTTAGTTACCCCCCTTAGTTTATGATTATGTGTGAGAGAGAGAGAGAGAGAGAGAGAGAGAGAGAGAAATGTAGTTTAACGTCCACTCGACACAAACTAGGTCATTTCGGGACTAACATATGGTTTAATTTTATTTCAATAATTCGCTTGCGCGTAGGGGTCTTTAGCAGTGGGAGGACCCGAAGAAAACCCACGAGTTGGACAGTTCGAAACCACGCCAGTTGACTTAATGACAGACTTTATGATACAGCGCGCACGTGCTAAACATTCAGCCATCCAACCCGCCATTCTACACACAGAAAACTAACTCTAAAATGTCGCCATATCCATTAATTAGTTTACTGTTTTGTAATACGGTCATACTCATGTTCACATCTGTTATACACAAAAAGACTAATTAAACCTTTTCAATTTTATTAAATGAAAGCTGAAAATAATATACTTCTCAAAATTCTCTAATTAGGACTTAAAATGTCGGTCAACTGTCTTGGTAACTGTTCTCATGCGAAGCAAATTGTAGACAAACTGTTTAAGTTTTGTATGATTACATGAAAGCTGTAGTCCGGGCATAAATCCCTTATGGCACGCTGCGTCGCGTTTACCCGTATTTATTAACCCAGTTGATCCAGGCAGTAAGGCGTTAAACCAGGAAATAGAAGAATATCATAAATACAGGGGGAGTGGCCAGTAGCACAGCATACCATTTCCCTAGACATATACATGGGGGGGGGGGGGGCAGTAGAACAGCTCACCTTTCCCCTTGTTATATATACAGGGGAGGGGCCAGTAGCACAGCATACCATTCCTCCTGACATGCACGGGTGTGGGGGGCAGTATCAGAGCTCATCATTCCTCTTGAGGAGAGTCAGTAACGCAGCATACCAACCCCCTTGATATTAAGTTAGTGACATGTTTGACTAGTAATACCAACCCCCTTGATATTAAGTTAGTGACATGTTTGACTAATAATACCAACCCCCTTGATATTAAGTTAGTAACATGTTTGACTAGTAATACCAACCCCCTTGATATTAAGTTAGTGACATGTTTGACTAGTAATATCTTATCTTGGTCTGTCTTGTATTATTTCGTGAAAACTTTGAAAACTTGACTTTTGGTGTTTGTGAAGTCATCGATGTCTTACATACCTTGTCTTTCATTGGCTGGTCTAATGGTGTAACGCGTGCGCGTGAAATCAAACGGTCTGTCATTGAGTCAAAAGTCGGGGTTTCGAATGAAATGAAATGGGGTTGAACGTCCTACTGTGTGCTATGCGTGAAATTTTGCCCGGGCAGTGGCATTATGGCCTACTCTTATATCGAATTCCAAATGCCATGGGGTCTTTTAAGTGCAAGCCAATATGTACACGGGAACTCGGTTTTTGACCCATCCGAACGACTAGACAGCTGCCCCCCGCCTTGAACCACTGACAAGGGGAACCACGTCGGAAAATCCCGATGTACTTTCTCGGCCAATGCAAGGGGGGTGGGTGGCCGAATGGTTAGCACGCGCGCGCTGTATCATACGGTCTGTCATTGAGTCAACTGGCGGGGTTTCGATTCCCCGGTTGTACGTGACAAGGAGTAGGGTCGCCTGTCCATCCTCGTGGGTTTCTCCGGGTCCTCCGGTTTCCTCCCACTGCTAAAGACCCCTACGCGCATGCGAATTATTGAAATAAAATTGAACCATGTGTTAGTCCCGAAATGACCTAGTGGACGTTAAACCCCATCTCTCTCTCTCTCTCGGCCAATGCAGGGATCGAACACGCAACCTCCAGATTCGCGAGCCAGAGTCTCGTGGATATATAAAACACATTATCTTTGTTTACCAGGTCATCCATTTCTGGACTAACACATGGTTCAACTTTATTTTAATAATTCGCTTGCGTGTGGGGGTCTTCAGCAGTTGGAGGAAACCGGAGGACCCGATAAAAAAACCCACGAGGTTGGACAGGCGACCCTACTCCTTGTCACGTACAACCGGGGAATCAAAACCCCGCCAGTTGACTCAATGACAGACATTATGATACAGCGCGCACGTGCTAACCATTCGGTAGTTTAGATAAAGTGCTGATAGTTCTCACTAGCCTCGATTGTCATGGTTACCGCTGTCATAATAATTAACAAAGTCTCGATTATTTATTTTTGCGGTTAATCATCAATGGGTGTTGAACAGCAGATCGGATTCAAATCCAATGAAAATCGGACACATAAGATGGCATCGAGAGTTGATTATGATCTTTTCATGTTAATTAATGTCTAATTAATAATTTAGATAACATTTCAGACCGAAAGAAAGATCTGCAATAGGCAGATTTAGCTCTTGCATAATGGGTGTTGAATAGCAGATCGGATACAAACCCAATGAAAATTGGACATATAAGATGGCGTCGAGAGTTGATTATCGTGTGGATAAGTTAATTAATATCTAATTAATAAATTATATAACATATCAGGCCTAGAGAAAGACCCGCAATAGGTAGATTTAGCTCTTTAAATAAATAAATAAAGCACTTTATTGACAAATATCACAGATACAGCTATAAAAACAATACACCATAGAATTTATCTTTCATTTTACTTTACTAATATAAATTTGTTGATTCCACCTATTCGTCTATTTTCCATCTTATAAATAACCATGTTATAATAAAGTATATATTTTTGTAAAGAATATGCAAGAATGGAATCACATTTACAAGGGGCAGGGCGATTAACCCCAAGGGATCCAAGAGTCACGGTCGTGTACTTTATCCTTTATCATCAGATAGTGGGATTAGGTGGGCAATCAAAGCGCTAGATAATTATATAGGCATAATATGTGAAATCACAATTAATGCTTTGCGTCAATGAAATTAATTGCATCATGCATTGGCAACGGTCAAATTTCCTTAACAGGAACCTGGCAAACCCCATCTGCATCCGCCTTGACATTGAAATAATTTTGATCTTTTCCGCAAACTTTTTCTTTTTCAAATAATTGTACTGTCACATTTTGGTCATATTTGATAAAAAAATTATTTGTATTATGTGTTCAAGGGAGATAACAGCGCCCATGACATTTTGCTAAAAAATCCTACCGTTTGCATGTAAAATACATCAGTTTTAACATTTGAATTACATTAAAGGCCTGCACACACCAAGATTTATTTGTCGGCAGTTTTCCATTATTTTCTCTGATGTTTTGTCGGGGTTCATCAAATCTATTCCCTATTTTTAAAGTCTAAAGGAGCTAAATCGCCAATATTTGGGATCTAGAAATTGACACAAATTATGGGTCTCAACGCATATAATAATGTAATACGAATGTATACAAACTGATTTACATTCAATAGTTTCTGTTTTTACTGTAATTTCTAATCAGTTACGTTTGGCGAAATACGACAGAAGTCTCAATCGAATGGCAATCTCTAGCGTCGGGTTATTCCAGTCTACAGAATAAGCCTAGCCCCGTTTTTCGAGTCCCTTGTTACAAATGGCGTTGAAACGCATTATGGTACACGATTCGTGTACCAATGGCAAAATGTTTATTTTGGCTTAAATATTCGATTTCAGAAGCTTATCTTTTCCCGGTAAGACCACAACATCAATGTTGATTAAAATTGGCAATAATTCTCGTTTTGAATGTCGAAGATTTTGGATGATATTGAGTTAGAGACTTAGCTACTTTAATATTGTATAAATCAATCAACCAGGGCATGCGTGGACGCTTAAATAAACATTTCTATGTAACCACAGAAGACGTTGGGAATTCTCGTGTTTGACAAAATTTTGATTACGAAAGATCTGTGTCGAAAAATCGCCGACGAGAAATCTGTTTTACCCGAAAGATTGTTGCCGACACGAAATCGGGATGTTGTGCATTTCACCTATATTCACTATAAGATACATCTCAGTTTTTATTCGGTTTTAGATCAGATATATGAGACATATATAAACATCATACATGTATGAGACATATAGACATTATATGAGACAGAATGAGATGATTTATGAGATAGATATAGACTTTATATGAAACAGATATAGACATTATATATAACAGATATAGATGTTATATGAGACAGGTATAGATGTTATATGTGACAGATACAGATGTTATATGAGACAGATATAGATGTTATATGAGACAGGTATAGATGTTATATGTGACAGATACAGATGTTATATGAGACAGATATAGATGTTATATGAGACAGATATAGATGTTATATGAGACAGATATAGATGTTATATGAGACAGATATGGACGGGGATATTGTATAACAGACATATATTGATATATATGATAAATAGACTAATTATTTGCTGCTGTGTAAATTTTAAACATGACGTTGTCTTCTTCTGGAATCGTTCTCTTCCACCTCCTCCACCATATGACGACTCTATAAACACAGAAGAAAAATCGACATTAATGTACTGGACAGAAGACAAAATAAACTGGAAAACCACATCAATACATTTTCAACATCGGAAACAAACCAGCACCTTGTCAACTAGATGTATAACTACGCAACATCAGGCCAATTAGGCACAGTAAACTTAAAGATACATTATGTAAGATTTAGATAAAGAACTAGCCATTCTCGCTAATAATAGTTCGAAAATAGATAATGTAACATGAATAATGTGCAAATTTCATTCAAGTTACTCTATTGCGAGCGAATATATACTATTCAAAAAAAGTAGGGGATATTTGATTTTGGGGGCATAATACTAAAATATGCAAATGACTACGAAAAAAGTCACTATAGAACCTAACAGAAGAAACATTTCCAGTTACATGTGACGCCCAAACGCACCAATAGCTACCGCATGGAATGCAGATGATGCTTGGGATCATCATGGGGGTCCAACCCAATATTTGCACGACTCTGACTTTGAATGTTACAGTCATTGTGGCATTGAATTCCAGGGTGGAAACATCAGTTTAATTGTTTTAGTGACCAGAAAACAAATTTTGATATGCGTCGGCTTACCCAAAATGAAAGGTTACGTGCCCTTGGCATGCTACAGATCGGCACAACACAGGCGGTTGTGGCGCGGACGATGAATGTTTCTCAGTCTGTCATAAGCAGGCTATGGTCCAGATACCGTGATACACAATCTGTACAGGACAGACCACGCTCAGGTCGACCAAGGGCGACAACTCAAGCCCAGGATCGATTTATCCGTACCTTGGCCTTGAGAAATCGTGTCATCACAGCAAATCAGATCAGCGCTCGTCTTCAAACAGACACTGGTGTGAGAGTGAGTGGCCAGACGATTCGGAATCGACTGCATAGGGGTCACCTTCGCGCCCGACGTCCTCGCGTGATCCCTTGTTTGAGAGATCATCACATTCAGGCAAGACGTCGTTGGTGTAGGGATCGTCAACACTGGGATAATCGACGCTGGAGCAATGTGATGTTTTCAGATGAGTCAAGGTTCACTGTTGATTTTTTGGACAGACGTAGGAGGGTGTGACGTCGTCGAAACGAGCGCTTCCAAGACGTTAACGTCATCAGACATGATCGATTTGGGGGTGGTTCTGTTATGGTGTGGGGAGGCATCACTGTTGCTGGAAGAACGGCTTTACATGTTGTTGCAGGGCGTGTTACAGGCCAGTACTACCGGGACAACATCTTGGCAGTCAATGTTGTGCCGTTCGCACGACGTCATGGTCGCCGTTTCATCTTCCAGGATGACAACGCAAGATGTCACAGGGCCAGGATCGTTACAGGTTACCTCCAACAACAGAACATCACCACATTACCTTGGCCAGCACTGAGTCCCGACCTCTCCCCCATCGAGCATGTCTGGAACATGCTTGGACAGAGGTTACGTCAACGTCAACAACGTCCTGCCAATGTCCAAGAACTTGCTGCTGCGTTGCAACAGGAATGGGACAATCTGGACCAAAATGACCTTAGACGTCTCATTAGGAGTATGCCACGTCGGATCAATGCTTGTTTGGCAAAGAGAGGAGGATTTACCCGTTACTGACTTGGTTGTGATGCTGTGGTAACTTTGCTGTTTGACCCCGGGTATCATTTTACCCTTATAATGGTCAGTCTGTGCCTTACTTAGTCTAACGATCATTTGGAATAAATCGATGAATGTGAGCTTCATTTCATTTTGTCATTTGTTTCTTCGTCTGTTTCATTAGGTGACTTTAATAACACTTAAAAATCAAATATCCCCTACTTTTTTTGAATAGTATATTAGCCTTTGAAGGTTTGACAAGACGTGTGCAATAATTTCAACCACCGTACTGGTTTTTCGAAGCTAAGTCTCGATGCCATCGAGAGTTGATTATGGCCTGGATAAGTTAATTAATGTCTAATTAATAATTTAGATAACATTTCAGGCCTAAAGAAAGACCTGCAATAGGCAGATTTAGCTCTTGCATAATGTATGTTTAATGTAGCACCAACATTGTACAAATAAATAATCTATGAATAGTGAGTAAAAAATGAAATGAAATGGAGTAAAACATCTGACTGTTCTACCTAAAGAGAACGGTCATACGCCATGTAGTGCGTTACGAGAGAAATTTGGCTCGGACAGCGGCACTACGGTCTACTCTGATTTCGAATTCCAACTCGGTTTTTCGTAACATCACTGACAAGGGGAAACTCCGCCGGAAGATCATGTAAGAAATGAAAATGAAATGAAATGGAGTTTAACGTCCTACTGTTCTGCTCCCACTGGGCTAATGATGAAGGGCAGTGTGTTAAGCGGGAAATTTTGTCAGGGCTTATATCGAATTCCAACTGCCAAGGGATCTTTTACGTATACACGTGGCGTCGGTTTTTCGTCCCATCCGAACGACTAGATAGCTTTCCTTGTCAGATCCTCTGTCCTGCACCACTGACAAAGGGTAAAACCAAGTCGGAAAATCCAGATAAACTTTCTCGGCCAATGTAGGAATCGAAGACGCGACCTTTAGACTAGTGAGCTAGCGAGATCTTGTAGCAGGACTGTAAGAAGAGTAAGTTCTGTGTTCTATCCGAGTATAATTGGACCCGGGCAAATTTAACTTAGAATGGCCAATCTGTATAGTGTGTGTGTCAAGAGGAGAAGAACTCCCAACGCTGAACAAATGGATAATACAATACTGCCAACAGGTCAAAACTATGGACTCAGACCACTTGGTCGAAATGAAATGAAATGAAACGGGGTTTAACGTCCTACTGTTCTGCTCCTATACTGGGCTCATGAAGATGGGCATACGCCATACAGTGTGCTATAAAGGAAATTTTGCCCGGGCAGCGGCACTATCGCCTACTCTTATATCGAATTCCAACTGCCAAGGGATCTTTTACGTGCATTCCAATGTATACACGGGACCTCGGTTTTGCGTCTCATTCGAAGGACTAGACAACTGTCCTTGTCAGGCCCTCCGTCTTGCATCACTGACAAGGCAGAACCACGCGGGAAAATCTGGATGAACTTTCTCGGCCAATGCAGGGATTGACCACTTGATCGAGAAAACGACACGAACTGTCCCACGTGGCTGAACGTAGGATGTACAGTTAAAGTATTAGCATCAACAAGCTGAATTTTTTTAAAGACTGTTGTTTCATAGTCAGAATAATTTGATAGCTTTGGCAATTCTGAGGACGATGCAGATGCAGATGATGACGACGATAATGACGACGACGATGATGATGATGATGACGATGACGATGACAACGATGATGACGACGAAGATGATGATGATGATGACGACGAGGACGATGATGACTTACCCAGTTATAAAAGGTTCCAGCGCCAGCACTATTTTTACATACAAGAGTTTGATCGTATAAACCCAATAATCTATCTGATTTATTGGCTACTGGTAATCGAAGATTTATTACATCAAATTGTTTTATTCTTCTGATTAAACTCTCTTTACCCAGTCGTCTGGTTAAACTCTGAATATGTTCCCATCTCTATAGCAACAAGAAAAACACAAAAAAATAATATATTTATTACGATTTTAAAAACATAAAAAATAAACCAAATGTTAAACTATTCGTAAATTTAATAAAAGCAGAAATAATCCAGACTTTCTTTTAAAAACAACCAATCCTGCTGTAAATTATGAAACTTAATACATTTTTATCAGAAAACCTGACTGAAACTTGGCCGGCGTGATTCCTTGGAGAGAAACGAACGGCAAACTTCTCCCTGGGGGCAGAGATGGAGTACGTCCACCCTATTATTATCCAAAAATACTTGCATTTAAAGCTTTATCTTTCTCGCCCAGTAATAGATATGTAGCTTTCATGACGTCATGGACACATTGTTTAGGTCGTTTGTAGCTGCTGATTTCAGATACTGTCGACTGTTTCATTGCTAAAATCTTTACAAGGTATTTCTTCAATCTTCTAAGTTGTCTTAACGTTTCTTCTGCATCCAACATGACTTGAGAGTGTCTCAGAGAACCACAAACCCTGGAATTCTTTGCTCGTTCTACTGTATATTCTAAACGATCTAGATTCCTTTCATCTATCGCCGTTTCTAAAGCTGAACAAAACACAATTTTATAATTATTATTGTTAATGGTATCTGGCCACTAAACCTTATTATTTATAATGAAATGTTAATGGAATCTGTTCTACAAACCCAGTAAAATCTGAACTTTTAACCCCATTGACAATCGACCTTTCAACCTCAATGGCATCTGACTTTCAAACCTTAATAACACGTGACCTGTAACCCCTATGCGCATCAGATCGTTAAACCTTAATGACCCCTGAGCTTGGCCTTTAAATATTAACCTGATCTGACCTTTAAACATTAATTATATCTGACCTTAAATCTTAATGGTACCAGACCTTTAAACTTTAATGGTATCAGACCTTTACATGGTATTGGATCTTTAAAATTTAATGGTATCAGACCTTTAAACTTTAATAGTATCAGATCTTTAACCCTCAATGGTATCATACCTTTAAATATTAATGATATCGGATCTTTAAACCTCAATGGCATCGGACGGTCAAACCTTAATGATATCGGATCTTTAAACCTCAATGGCATCGGACGGTCAAACCTTAATGATATCGGATCCTTAAACCTCAATGGCATCGGACGGTCAAACCTTAATGATATCGGATCTTTAAACCTCAATGGCATCGGACGGTCAAACCTTAATGATATCGGATCTTTAAACCTCAATGGCATCGGACGGTCAAACCTTAATGAAATCGGATCTTTAAACCTCAATGGCATCAGACCTTTAACCTTTTGACCTTTAAACCCTAATGACATCTAAACTTTAAACCATAATAACCATGATCAAACCCCCAATGCCACCTGATCTTTAAACCTCAATGCCACCTGACCTTTAACACTTGACCCTAATAAACGCTGGATCTAATTATGCGGTGATGGTTGTCATTTTAAACTAAATAATGGTATATGACCCATTCGGTTGTCATAGCCAGGAATACAGTATATTATTATAACATTATGATGCTATTATCTAAATCCATTGACCACTAGTAGAAATATAAATATATTATAATATTACAATTATTTAAATGTATTGACCACTTGTATAAATAAAATAATCATTTAAATGCACGTTACCTCCCCCTCCCCCTTCTCTCTCTCTCTTCCTCTCTCTCTCTCTCTCCCTCTCTCTCTCTTATCAACATAATGAAACAAAATCGAATTCGGTACCATTATTATTATTTGTGAAATATTATTAAATATACTGACCACTGGTGTAAAGATCCAATAATCTTTGTTTAGCATCTGTTAAATCACCTCTATCTTCTAATCTATTGGCTATAAATTCATTAATGGCTTCCTCTAATTCATCTATATCACTTTCTTCAGTAGCTAATTTCAGTCTGTCTCTTATACTTCTGTCTAATGCCTTTAAATAGAAATATATTATCTTAATGTTAGTACAATAGAGAAGCAGTTTATAATACCCTATTACATTATTAATTATTAATATAAGTCATGATGAAGTATTCTTTAGGTCTAGTTAGAATTTTTGAATATTGTATATTCTGATTCTGTGTGCCTACCATTTTAGTTTCAACAAGGTTAAAGACAGGGTCGCTTTTTGGCAATTTCTAGTACGATTACCTACAGCCCTTGTTTGCTACTAAGGTTCGTCGTGTTGTGGTCATGTTGCTGTCAAGAACAGCTGATTCCGGTCACAACACACCACACGAAGAGCAACAGAAGAGAACGAGACCCACCGTATTGTGCAAGAACCATGGGGTAAAAATGGTACCCACAGAATCAACGACACAAGATTTAAACGACTACAGGTAAATTGGAAATACTGACCTCATCTGTTCTGGATGCATTCTGGTCTAAAATAAAATAAAACAGATTCTGGAATAAATGTACTTAAAATGGACGACAGGGGCATAATATGGCGATCGAGAACATAAACATCCAAAAAATAAAACGAAATCTAATTTTAATAGGGTTTTTATTAAATGGGAGGGAAATAGTCAGATGTTTCCGTTTAAGTCAACAGATGCTTGGATGAATTTAAAATGTTGATGACAAACAATATCGTCTGTCGATCGTAGGCCTATCTCAGGACTTCAACCATTTCAATAGCCATGAAAAGGGCTATGGAAAGATATGATTGGGGTTTAACGTGCTACTGTTCTGTCTGGGCTAATGAAGACGAGCATACGCCATACAGTCTGCTATGAGGGAAGTTTTGCCCGGACAGCGGCACTACGACCTACTCTTGTTTCGAATTCCAAGGGTTCTTTTACATGCACGCCAACGTGTACATGGGACCTCGGTTTTTCGTCCCATCCAAACGGCTAGCTACGGTTTAAATGAACAAATAACTGGTTCACAATTTATTACCGTCTATAAGTTCTTGTAGTCTGGCCTTGGCTCTGGTCAGATCGCCTTTATCTTCCAGTCCTTTACTTTCAAATTGATTTATTGCTCGTTGCAGATTATCTATATCCGTTCCTCTGGTAGCCTTGATCAACGAGTCTCTTACTGGATCCGCCTTCTTCTTCTGTAATAATAATAATAATAATAATTAATAATTAATAATTAATAATAATATTCTCACAACTGAGACTAAAAAATAATTTATTTAATTTATTATGAAATATCAATAACCCTTGTACCGTACACCAAACAATTATAAAATATCATTAACACTTGTACCGTACACCAAACAATTATAAAATATCATTAACCCTTGTATCTTACACCAAATAATTATGAGGATATTATTATTGAAATTTAGGTCGGGTGTTCGATCCCTGCATTGTCCGAGAAAGTTCATCCAGATTTTCCGTCGTGGTTCCCCCTTGTCAGTGATGCAGGACGGAGGGCCTGACAAGGACAGCTGTCTAGTCCTTCGGATCAGAGAAAAAACCGAGGTCCCGTGTATACATTGGAATGCACGTAAAAGATCCCTTGGCAATTGGAATTCGATATGAGAGTAGGCGATAGTGCCGCTGCCCGGGCAAAATTGCCCTCATAGCACACTGTATGGCGTATGCCCGTCTTCATTAGCCCAGTATATTGAAATTTATAAACTGTAAAACTATTACTTACGCTTTCATTGACTATTTTGTCAGTACTTAAAAGGTAATTGAGGGCGGGGTTACCGGCAACTAAAATCTGTAACACACAATCTGTAACATCCGGGTTCTCCGGCATCATGACGTCAATATTCACTCTATTTCCGGAAATATCTTGTGTCACGTGATCAGAGAAATCTATTTTGTTATCTCCGCTCTTTAAGGTAGTTGTAACCTTTGCCGGGTCATCAACATTTAAACTAAAGGTTTTTCTCTGAGATCGCGCTAAATAAATAAAACCATTTGTAGGACTTGCGGAGTTAATTCCCCCTTTCTTGGCAGTTGTTCCCTGTCCATAGCCAAATTCGGGATTGTTTGGAAATTCGTCAACAGTTTCGCCGATTTTATCACATTCTAGTTTAAACTCGCAGAATCCCTTAAATACTATTTTAAAAACGCCTTCAACCGGAAATCGAATAACAACGCCCTTCGAATCCACTTCGTTGTTGTAAGCGACAAATTTATCTAGTCTTTTATCAGTTGGCGCTTGACGACGAGATTCGTTTTCGTTATAGAACAGTTCGTATTTAAATGTTGGATCGACGTTCTCCGAATGCATGATATCAATCCAACATTTTCCTTTCTGTGATTTGAGAATGCATTTGAGATCTTTATCATGTTTTAAACCAAACTGAAAGAAGTTCGGGTGGCAGTAAGGAATATTTATATATTTGTCCATCGACCAAGGTTGAGCTAACAACTGCCATGGATCTTTATCAGGACGACATATATAGATAAATTCATCGGGATCAGTGAGAAAATAAAATTCGTTTAATCCCGTGACGTCATGTCCGGACGATTTTGATTCTTTTTTGTTGACTGCTTGTCCTTCCTTCTCGATCATGGTCCAGTTGCCCTTACTGAATCCAGACACAGCACGGAATGACCACAATGGATGAACAAGCCTCCATGATTTATCTATGTATACTGCTGTCCACTGACTGTTAAGGTTGGTAAAATCCTTGTCGCCAACTTCATAATTCAGAGATTTTCCTTTTCCCTTCACAATAACACACGGTAATTTGGCAGCTCTGAAATATTAGTTTTTGTAAAAAAAAATGTTTATTCTAGAAGAATCTGTAAGGAATTCCAATTTGATTACAATACAGATCTATATTTCGTTTCGTTTTTTATACTTTTGATGGCCTACACTACATGAAGATCTGGCTGTGAAAGAATTGGATACAGTAAAAACAACTCAAAGATAGATACATTATGTAAGATTTAGATAAAGAGCTAGCCATTCTTGCTATAATAGTTCGAAAAAGGATAATGTAAAATTAATAACTTGAAAATTTCATTCAAATTGCGCGCGAGCGAAGATATTAGCCTTTGAAGGTTTGAAAAGATGTGTGCAATAATTTCAACCACCGTACTGGTTGTTAGAAGCTAAGTCTCGCGGCTCCATTTTTAGATTAAAACAAAATATGGCTGAAAGTTCTAATCTATTCAATATCGGAGAAATCTGATGCCATCGAGAGTTGATTATGGTCTGGATAAGTTAATTAATGTCTAATGAATAGTTTAGATAACATTTTATGTCTAAAGAAAGACCTGAAATAGGCAGATTTAGCTCTTGCATAATGTATTTTTAATGCTTTTATAAAACTGGAAGCAGTTTGAATTATGCACAGAACAAAAATATTAAAGAAAATCTCATTACCTGCAGAGTAGAGTAAAAAATGCCGTGTATGAACCATTTTTATGTTTAATGTTTTTCATGTAGCCTCTGGGGGTAGAATTATCAGTGATCTTCGGATAATTCTCACTCTCTATCTTCTGGGCCGCCAACCACATGTATACTGCTCGTAGTTTCTGTAAATCTGTCGTACATCCTCGAGTTATCTCCCCTAATAAGCTATCATAGGTGGATTGTGGAGAAGCCAAGGCCTAAAATAAACACACAATATTCTCAAAGACAACACAACAAAAAAAAAGAAGAAAAATTACAATAAAATAATTTCTCAATATTTAAATAGATAGCAAAGATTATAGAATATATGGGAGGGCTCCGGATGTGAGCCGAGGGTCGGGGTTGGGGGATCATTTCCGTTTAACAAGAACACCGTTATTAAAGGCTGTTGTGTAAACAAAATAAACGTAGTCCGGAATGAAGTCAAATGTGGTTTTCCAAACGGAGAGTTGCGTGACGAGGTACAAACAACGCTTAGCGAATGACATGGGCATTGGTTTATACAGTTATTCATTGTACATCTCTTTAATAACTTTACGGTAACATGTTAAGCTGCACGTGTGACGTTGCACTGTGGGACAGCTATGGCGGAATACTAGGGAAGACAGCGTTCGTCGTCTGTCGGCCTTTGTCGTATATATCATGTGTGTCATGAACTGTTGATAACTGGTAATCTGTTTGTCCCGGCGTGGTTCCCCCTTGTCAGTGATGCAGGACGGAGGGCCTGACAAGGACAGCTGTCTAGTCATTCGGATGAGACGAAAAACCGAGGTCCCCTGTACACATTGGCGTGCATGTAAAAGATCCCTTGACAGTTGGAATTCGATATAAGAGTAGGCCGTAGTGCCGCTGTCCGGCCAACATTTCCTTCATAGCACACTGTATGGCGTATGCCCGTCTTCATTAGCCCAGTTCGGAGCAAAACAGTAGGACGTTAAACCCCATTTCATTTCATATTCTGTTTGTCAGATGTTTGATATTATTATAATATACTTTCCCAGTGATGACCATGTTGTTGATGTTGTTCATTCGGCTAAAACCCCCACATGACAATAATGATGTTATCAATTCTCCCTGATCATATTTACCTTTTTAGCATTAGATTCGACGTTCGTGTAATCTCGTGAATCGAAACATTCCTCCTTCCTGTTTGCAGGGGGTTTAGGTGGGGGATATCCCTTTTCACTGTCGGCTACCGGAAACTAAAACAAACATACAATTTGGTGTATTTTAAATTTATTGGTTGGTTTTAAGAAATACATGATTACAGAGTGTTAAAGGGCAATGTTAACTTCCACTAGACTTCAAGTTTGAAACGACAAGATTAGTTTACACCAATGTTACATATGTCATAGAAATGATTAACCAAATTCCAAATATAACTTATCACAGAATTCTTTGGAACGGTTGGGTCTTAGCTACGATTTGATAATTCCGGAAGTGACGCAAAAAACGGAAATCATTTGAATGAAGGGTGGTAACTGCTACACGGTGGATTTTCCGCTCACTGATAGGTCTGACCGAGAGGGTAAGGGTATGCTATTTTAAGTGACAGGAACCTAATTGAAATTAAATCGCATATTTATAATGGTCTTCGGTCTACTTCAACAGCAATAGACAATAAAACTTGGAGATAGATGATCATCGGCATCCATGACAATTTCAAACAACGGAAAGTCTCGCAGAGCGAAGCGAATCAATTTCTGTGGGGGTGAGAAAAGGATATTGTTAGTGATTGTTGCATGCTACGTTAAAACTTGTAACATGGACGGGAAATTTTCCTTTGTTCTTTTCGTTGAATAAGCAGATTGTTTTCCCTCTAGTAGATTGGGTAGAGCTTAACCGTGCAATGTTATTGCACACTTTTGCTGGTTTACGCTAGTTTTAGTAGAAATCATATAGAGAAGTGGGGTGGGTTTTCTGTGCAATAACAACAAGCATGTTGAGCAGGTGTCAATGTTACAAGTCATTTATAGCACGCTTCATTCGTTAACAGATTTTACGCCTCGACCTACGGCCTCTGTTTAAACCTGTTAACTCATGAAAGCCGTGCTATAAATATAACATAATGGGATATTCTTATTTCAGGTGTTCGCACACTCTTTACGTAACAAACTGAATAGGTTTTGAATCTAGATAAAATTCATGATTCAAAATATCGGCCTTAAAACACGTGTTTCACCCGATTAGATTTTATTAGATACTTCGAGAAGGTATTTGTTGAGTAATAAAACCTTCTAGTAGTTTATCGAGGGCTGGTCGTCCTTACCACACGGTACAAATAAAACCTTCTAGTAGTTTATCGAGGTTCGGGTGCTTCCGGAGTCCAAAAAGGTCGCTTTATATAAATGAGAATTTTGGGGATAACTAGCCCTACCCCTTTTTAAAAGACTGAACTTGGGTCTAATTTAGTTTTTACTTCTCTTAAAAGGGTTAGGGTTAGGGTTCGGGTTAGTACTCCCCTAAATACTCATTTGTATAAAGCGGCCATTTTGGTATGAGTTCTGGCTTGTTCTGGAATTTGTTGCTTCTAGTGGTGATAATATTTGTACCGTGCGGTAAGGACGGCCAGCCCTCGATAAACTACTAGAAGGTTTTATTACTCAACAAATACCTTCTCGAAGTATGTAATAAAATCTAATCGGGTGCGTGTTTATTGTCAAGAACCTGGACTGACCTCTTCTAGTAATGGTTCATCTGACGATTTACTGGATCCACAACCCATCTTTAACCTTCTCCTTCCTTTTACCTTACATCAGTTGACCTGTAACAAATAATACAGGTGGACTGTACAACAAGAGGCAGAGAGAACAAATAAAATGAAATGAAATGCGGTTTAGCGTCCCACTGTTCTACTCCGACTGGGCTAATGAAGATAGGCATATGCCATACAGTGTTCTATGAGGGAAATTTCGCCAGAGAAGTGAAGCTACGGCCTACTCTTATATCGGATTCAAACTGCCAAGGGATCTTTAACGTGCACGCCTTGTGTACACGGGACCTAGGTCTAATCAAACGAAACACTGTGAGGTGTATGAAATTAATAGACCTAACCCGTGTCTACTTATCTAAATGTTTCGATAAATGGCGCTGTTTATTCTAATGGTGACAATTGATTTCCTAATTACTGTCGAGCTGAGTATCTTACACAAACAGTCTTATTATTCTATATTTAAATATGTTTAATTGATGTTAATAGTGAAAGTGTGATAAACTGCAAAAAATCCAAACATTACAATTATTCGATTAAAAAAATGTATTTCTTTCATTTTATCAAGCACAATAGGTCGACATTAGGACCACTCGAGTTTCAAAAGTGTCTTTGTCATCAGGCGCTGATAACCCTTGTCGCCACCGGGCGCTGATAACCCTTGTCGCCACCGGGCGCTGATAACCCTTGTCGCCACCGGGCACTATAATAACACTTGTCGCCACCGGGCGCTGATACCCAATGGACGCTATAACACATGTCGCGACCGGGCGCTGGTATGGTAACCCTTGTCGCCACCGATAGGAAGACAAACTTGTATCTGCAGAATCCACGCCACCGTCTCGATTTGGATTCAAACACAAATATGGTTAAACTGACATCAATATAATACAAATAAGTTATTCATATATAAAAGTCGTGGTTTCCCCTTGTCAGTGATGTAGGCCTGGCAAGGACAGTGTCTAGACGTTCGGATAGGACGAAAACACAAGGTCTCATGTAAACATTGATGTACAGGGAACATACCCCTTGGCAGTTGGAATTCGAAATAAGAGTAGACCGTAGCATGCTGTTTGGCGTACGGCCGTCTTTGTTATCCCAGTCGCAGGAGAACAGTAGGACGTTAAACAGCAGGGCGTTAAAGCCCATTCATTAGTCCAGTCGCATCGGAACAGTAGGACGTTAAACCCCATTTCATTTCATTTACATTTATAAAGCACTAAATCCACAAATCTTCCCATAGACACACAAAAATGTAGGTTATATTTTTAGGGTTTAGAAATACTAGTTTTGTTTGCCTGTTCATCAAAACAAGGATAAACATAGTTTCTAAAACATCTATAAAATCTCCGATAACTTTAGTATGGTGGCTGATTGGTATCATGTCGTGATGTCGTGGTGTCGCCCTTCATAAGGCGACAACCCAACAATCCGACATCACGACAATTTAACCCGACACTACGACAACCCGGCAACCCAACATCACGACACCACGACATTTTAACCCGACAATACGACATTTTCACCCGACACCACGACATCCCGACATGATACCAATCAGCCACCATACTTTAGTATTCTGTTCAAGCATAAATCTTTATAGCTTGGATATACGATCAACGACGTTGTATTTCGATTGTGGTGAATTTATGGGGTGTTTTCAATGACTGACAATAAGATAAGCTAGGGTTATATATAAATAAATGATATAAACGATATAAAACTCTGTCACTGGTAGTTATATTATATCTATGTCATAAAATACTACAACTAGATAAGGTAAGGGTCATAGGAGAACTTATTCACTTAGAAATGAAATGAATTGGAGTTTAACGACCTACCTTTCTGTATCGACTAGGATAATGAAGAAGTCAAGACGGGTAATAAATAAATAAATAAATAAATAAATAAAAAAAAATAAGAGAGAGAGAGAGAGAGAGAGAGAGGAGAGAGAGAGGGGGAGAGAGAGAGGGGAGAGAGAGAGAGGGGGAGAGGGAGGGGGAGGGGGGAGAGAGAGAGGGAGAGAGAGAGAGAGAGAGGGGAGAGAGAGAGAGGGGGAGAGAGAGGGGGAGGGGGGAGAGAGAGAGGGGGAGAGAGAGAGAGAGAGAGAGAGAGTGGGGCTTAACGTTCACTTGACCCAAACTTATTTATTGTGGGACTAACATATGGTTCAATTTTATTTCAATAATTCGCTTTGGCATAGGGGTCTTTAGCAGTGGGAGGATACCTGGGGCTTAAAGTCTACTCCACACAAACTAGGTAATTTTGGGACTAACATATGGTTTAATTTTATTTCAATAATCCGCTTGCGTGTAGGGGTCTTTAGCAGTGGGAGGAAACCGGGGGACCCGGAGAAAACCCACGAGGTTGGACAGGCGACCCTACTCCTTGTCACGTACAACAGGGAATCGAAACCACGCCAGTTGACTCAATGACACACCTTATGATACCATCTCACCCCCGGTAGTCTAAGTGGAGATAGACCTGTTTTAATTTGTGGTAGAGTAATTTTACTTTAGTTATTAAACATCGACTTATTAAATCAATCATGGCTGTATCGATTTGAATCCTACGAAGCTCCGTACGAAACTATCGCTCGAAAACTAAGTTACAGCCTCTGTAGTTAATGGATCTCTGAGTTCAGAATCATGCGAAGCTCCGTACAACACTATCGCTCGAAAATCAAATTATAGCTAGCTGTGTATTGTCTCTGTAGGTAATGGGTCTGTGACGAAGACCCAGATCAATATTTAATATAGTATTATAATTATCTTTCAATATATCATCCTGAAACTACGGATAAAATACAGCTTAACAATAGAATTATATAATCGATTGGACCAGCTTGTTGATTCCAAACCAACTACATCCTAAATTACTTTGGTTTTGTCCATTTTCAGGCCGACCAGGTTCAATTAAAATACAGATCTATATTTCGTTTCATTTTTTAAAACTTTCGATGGCCTCTACTACATGAAGATCTCACCGGTTGTACTGGAAGGTCGCGTCAGAGGTCATTCAAGCGACTACTATGACGTCAGACATTTGATTAATCAATCAGCGTTGATGTTTCTAGTGGGTTACCCACAGTTCTGTGCACCTCACGCCAAAAACTTGCCGTAACGGAATCCCTCACATCATTCAGGGTTATATAAAAACTCTTTCAGATGCTAGTGTAGTAAAGACAAGTAAAACGAAATTTTGAACTAAAACATCGAAACGATGCAGGATCTGTGTTTTAATCAGATTGGGCCAGATTTTGCCGGTTGGAGAGATCAGGGCGGCTGGGGATCAGGTTGGACAATTCATCTTAACGTCTACTCAACGTCTACGTGATCCCAGTTAATTTCAATAACTCGCTTAAACATGCATTATGCAAAGAGCTAAATCTGTCTTTTGCGGGTCTTTCTTAAGGCCTGAAATGTTATCTAAATTATTAATTAGACATTAAGTAACTTATCCAGACCATAATCAACTCTAGATGGCATCGCTAGTCTGCAATCTTTTGTGGATTTTGAGCCGATTTACTGCATAACTTTCCTTCACGATTTAACGATTAACTGGATAATCGAGACTATGCTGTTTATCGTACTGACTTTAGTAATGATGATCGAGGCTAGTAGATGATCGGTTCATAGTGGATCAATTTGAATGAAATTTTCAGCAAATTGCCTTTACATTATCTAGTTTTTCACTATTATAGTGAGAACTGCCAGCTCGTTATAGAATCTCCCATAATGTATCTTTAAGTGTACGTGCTTAAACAATGGGAGGAAACCGATGGACGCTGATAAAACCGAAGAAGTTGGATAAGCGACCCTACTTCATGTCACGTACAAGCGAGGGTATTGAAACCTGGCTCAATCACAGTCCGACTGATCTAAAGCGCGGGCGTTAATCCACCACCACCCCATTACTTTACGAAAGATGATGATTTCACCTATAAAGTGGAATAAACTCATCCAATTTACCGTTGTTGTGGATTTAATGATTATATTTATTATTTTAAGTTTGCCTTTAAATCTACCTGTATATGATTGATAAGCAACACGTTGTCAAGTTTACCTTTAGATCTACCTGTTAATGGTAGACACGCAACACGTTGTCAAGAGCAACATCGTATTGTTATAAAGCCACACCTGTTCACACTCAAGTGTGTTTACTTAATTAAAATACAGGTTGACATTAATTAGAAAAGTTCATCCAGATTTTCCGACGTGGTTTCCCCTTGCCCCGTGTATATATTGGAATGCACTTAAAAGATCCCCTGGCAGTTGGAATTCGATATAAGAGTAGGCGATAGTGTCGCTGCCCGGGCAAAATTTCCCTCATAGCACATTATCCCAGTATAGGAGCAGAACAGTAGGACGTTAAATCCCATTTCATTTCATTAATAAGAAAAATCAAAACAATAAACACATTTGTTTCGTCCCTATAGAAAGAGCCGCGGTGGCTCAGTAAGTGAGAGAGGGAAATGGGGTTTAACGTCCACTCGACACAAACTAGGTCATTTCGGGACTAACATATGGTTTAATTTTATTTCAATAATTCGCTTGCGCGTAGGGGTCTTTAGCAGTGGGAGGGAACCGAAGGACCCGGAGAAAACCTACGAGGTTGGACAGGCGACCCTACTTCTTGTTACGTACAACCGGGGATTCGAAACCACGCCAGTTGACTCAATGACAGACTTTATGATACAGCGCGCGCGTGCTAACCATTCAGCCACACATGGTTCAGTATTATTTCAATAATTCGCATGCGCGTAGGGGTCTTTAGCAGTGGGAGGAAACCGGAGGACCTGGAGAAAACTCACGAAGTTTGACAGGCGACCCTACTCCTTGTCACGTCTACCAGTAATGAGATTAGCCTTTAAACATAAAGTGATTCTTTTGATAAAAAATAAGATTGTGTCATGTGTTTTGTATTTTTAGTCATGGGGTTGTCCAAAAATACGGATCCACCATCAAGTACTACCTTTCCATTTGATCTTTTCTGTCGCAAAGATGTACACAAAATATTTTCATATTGTTACCCAGGCTGATATCCATCAAAATATAACTGTTCGACGCGGGAATAAAGACTGTACGATACGGATGATGAAAAACCATAATAGGCCCACGAATTACTTTAAGGAGTACGAAAATCGAAATTGGGTTCAATTTCTAGTTTTCTGAACCGAATAGACTAATCAAGACAAACAGACGCCATAAAGTGGTGAAATTTTGTCCGAAGAGCGACACTACGGACTACTCTTATTTCGAATTCCAACTCCAAATTATCCTTTTACGTGCACCCAACGCGGTGACGATATCTTTGGGTTTTCGTTCCATCCGAACGACGAGAGAGAGAGAGAGAGATGTGGTTTTAACCTCCACAAACTATAGGTCATTTCGGGACTAACATATGGTTAAATTTTATTTTCATAATGCTTGCGTGTAGGGGTCTTTGGCAGTGGGAGGAAACCGGAGGTTGGGCATCCAACTCTACTCCTTGTCCCGTATAAGCGGAGAATCGAAACCACGCCAGTTAACTCAATGACAGACCTTATTATATAGAGCAGACACGCTAACCATTCGGCCATCCAACCCCCACCCACCGAACGACTAGGCACTGTTCCTTGTTAGTAAGGGGGTTGGATGGCCGAATGGTTAGCACGTGCGCGCTGTATCATAAGGCCTGTCATTGAGTCAACTGGCATGGTTTCGAATCCCCAGTTGTACGTGACAAGGAGTAGGGTTGCCTGTCCAACCGGGGTCCTCTAAAGACCCCTACGCGCAAGCGAATTATTGAAATAAATTTAAACCATGTGTTAGTCCCGAAATAACCTAGTTTGTGTCGAGTGGGCGTTAAACAGGATTTCTCTCTCTCTCTCTCTCTCTGTCAGTAAAGGTTGTTATCTGAGTGTATTAATTAATTGAAGTAGATATCAGATCATTAAAGTTCTACAACGTAAGACAATAATGCCTAGAGCATTTATATATCATTCTCTATTACAAACACCCCGACATACATTATTGATGACACTGTAATTGATTTCAGGTAAACCTTTTCTTACCTGTATATCGAACATCCAAACATGTTTAACGATCTATTAAAATTCGATATGTAAACATGATTCACGTCGCCAATAGCGTACTTTTGTAATTCGTTTACAAATTTGGAATAATTAATATCAATATTTTATTCATTTTTTCTACCTTTTAAAATTAAAGTGAGAATCTAACCGGTTTAAAATAAGGGGTTCGGTCTGTGAGGCAGGGGTCGGGGTATTCAAAAACAAGGATGGGACAGGGTATTAAGGAAACATGGGACAGAAGTTGGGGTATAAAACAAAGATGGGGAAGAGGTCAGAGGATAATGTTTTGATGGGATACAGGGGTAAGGGAATACAGTTTTGATGAGACACGGGACACAGGGATCATGGTTTAAAATTTTGATTGGACAGAGGTCAGGGAATGGAGTATTGGTTGGACACAGAGGTCAGTGAATAAAATATAAATAATAGGACAGGGGGTGAAGGTATAAATTAAATATATGGAACAGGGATAAGGGTATACATTAAATATGGGACAGAGGTGAGGGTATACATTAAATATGGAACAGGGGTAAGGGTATACATTAAATATGGGACAGAGGTGAAGGTATACATTAAATATGGGACAGGGGTGAGGGTATACATTAAATATGGGACAGGGGTGAGGGTATAAATTAAAAATATGGACGGGGTCAGGGTAAAAAAATATGGAACAGGGGTGAGGGTATAAATTAAAAATGGGACAGAGAGGTGAGGGTATACATTAAATATGGGACAGGGGTGAGGGTATACATTAAATATGGGACAGGGTTAAGGGTATACATTAAATATGGGACAGGGGTGAGGGTATAAATTAAATATGGGACAGGGGTGAGGGTATACATTAAATATGGGACAGGGGTGAGGGTATAAATTAAAAATAGGACAGAGGTGAGGGTATAAATTAAAACTATGGGACAGGGGTGAAGGTATAAATTAAAAATATGGGACTGGGATGAGGGTATAAATTAAAAATAGGACAGAGGTGAGGGTATAAATTAAAACTATGGGACAGGGGTGAAGGTATAAATTAAAAATATGGGACTGGGATGAGGGTATAAATTAAAAATGGGACAGCGGTGAGGGTATACATTAAATATGGGACACAGGTGAGGGTATAAATTACAAATGGAACACAGATGAGGGTATAAATTAAAAATGGGACAGAGGTCAGGGCACGTTTTCGTTGGCGTGCACAGAAAAGAACATTTGAAAGCCGGATTCGATGAAAAACGCTGTTGTCCGGACAAAATTTTTCTTATAGCAAAATGCATAGCGTATGCCAGGTTTCCTCAGCCGGGTCGGTGCTCAAACGAAAAACGTTAAACGCCATTGAAGTTTATGGATGGACAGTAAAGTACGGTATATGAAAGGAATACCGAACTCTGTAACACAGCCTGTAATCAAATATCAATCGCCTATCGATATATGTATAAAATCCTGTCAATTGTTTCTTCTTGACATAATAAAGAGAAGATTAAGCATAAGTTAGTCCGAATAATCCACCGCCAACAATATTAAATGTTGAATAAATATAGCCTACGGTGACTAACAGGAGTGTGATTGAAATGAAATTAAATGGTATTTAACGTCCTACCCCGTTCTACCCCAAGTCCGACTGGGCTAATGAAGACGGGCATCTAAAAAAATTTGTCCAGAAAGAGAACGTTCACTTGACACAAACTCGGTCATTTTGGGACCAACATATGGTTCAATTTTCTTTCAATAATTCGCTTGCGCATAGGGGTCTTTAACAGTGGGAGGAAACCGGAGGCCCCGGAGAAAATCCACGAGGTTGGACAGGCGACCCTACTCCTTGTCACGTATAACCGGGGAATCGAAACCACGCCAGTTGACTCAATGACAAACCTATGATACAGCGCGCACGCACTAACCATTCGGCCACCCCCCCCCCCGCTCGGGACCTTGGGTTTTCATCCCATCCTCTCGACTAGACACCCTGCTTGCCAGGCCCTCGTAACTTTCTCGGCCAACACCGGGAGGGAATTATAATTTGCTGAATCAATGTATAATACAATGCATATAAATAAATAAATATATTACAATAATATTTAAATAAAAACTAACCCTTGTTTGAAGAAATCCCCGGTCACTTTTACCTTCAGTATTACACTATAAATATATCAACTAGATGAATATCAGTTATCATAGTTTAATATGATCTAATATGGTGTCTTATTACCTGTCGAGTACACACCTAGGTGTCTCTAGTATCGTCTTTTATTACATTTCTTTTATGATCGCCGTTCTCTAACTTATCAATAAGCCAGTGTTTGGTGTCCCCACGACAACGTTTACAATAAAGTGTCTATTCTTTTATTACCTAGGTATATCTTAACAGACATGCTTTTCAATTTAAACTACACCCTATTATCAACACAACCTCGTCGATCATTTAAATGTCGCTTTGTCGCTTTACTGATAAACATTTTGATTTTGAGAGAGAGAGAGGGGGGGAGAGAGAGAGAGAGAGAGAGGGGGGGGAGGGGGGTAACGCCCACTCAGCACAAACTAGGAATTTCGGGACTAAACTATGGTTTTACGTTTTTTTGAATCAACTTGTGTGCGTGTATGTGTGTGTGTCTGGGTGTGTGTGTGTGTGTGTGTGTGTGTGAGAGAGAGAGAGAGAGAGAGAGAGAGAGAGAGAGAGAGAGAGAGAAATGGGGTTTAACGTCCACTCGACACAAACTAGGTCATTTCGGGACTAACATATGGTTTAATTTTATTTCAATAATTCGCTTGCGCGTAGGGGTCTTTAGCAGTGGGAGGAAACCGGGGGACCCGGAGAAAACCCACGAGGTTGGACAGGCGACCCTACTCCTTGTCACGTACAACCGGGGATTCGAGTGTGTGTGTGTGAGAGAGAGAGAGAGAGAGAGAGAGGTCTGTAGCAGTGGGAGGAAACCGGAGGACCCGGAGAAAACCCACGAGGTTGGACAGGCGACCCTACTGCTTGTCACGTACACGCGGAGAATAGAAACCACACCACTTGACTCAATGACAGACCTTATGATCTAAAGCGCACCAGTTAAACTATTCGGCCACCCACCCACGACATTATTTCTAGATACATTCTTTCAAGGGCTGGAGGGGGGAGGGGTCGAGGCAACTAATCGAGTATGGCGCTTCTGACTCACTAAGTGTTAGCGTCCTTTTCCACCGCTCTCTGGACCCAGCTTCCTTCATATCATACGGCTATCAACTGAATTTAAAGGGTACTTAAAAGTTGTGTCAACACAAACCCTTGGTCATTTTATGAATAACACAAAAGAAGATATAATTTCCAATTCTATAATTTCAAATCGTCAGTAATTCTTTTTTATGCACGTCAACGTTTACATGAGAGGATATCGGCTTTTCGTCCCATCCGAAAGACTAGACACACTGTTCATATGTACTACAAGAGTGTAGAGTGAGCTGAATCAGATGAACACAAGAAACAATAACGTACAGGACAACCCCACCACACACAACAACCACCTAGAAACCCAGACAACAAATGTAAAGGTAAAAGGGTGGGATATAATAAAACATCAAAACACTGTCAAAGAGAATGAATCTAAGGATGAACTGTTAATAGATTTTTGTTCTTGTAATGATGAAATGATAAAATAATATATCAAATTGTGATGAAATAATATTGTAAAATAATATGGTAAAATAATATATCAAATTGGGGTAAAATAATATATCAAATTGTGGTAAAATTTTATATCGAATTGCCATATAATAATATATCAAACTATCATACAATTTAGATATGTATTTCTAAAAAATAAAAATTATTAACGGTAAAACAACCCCAACACAGTATGAATCAGCGGAAACATTGTACGTGTGTAATGGACGATATGTATTAGGTATATCATGAAGAACGATTTAACGTGAATAATGTAATTACATGTACGACATGCCATTTAATAATACAATTCACCTAGTTCTGTCAATAAATTGGAGAGCGTTATATAAGTTATTACATATACTATTCATATAAAACCAATTGAAGTCAATAAAATTATATTAAAAAACCCGATAAAGCCAACATGATATCTTATTATAATTCATTATTAACACGAAATCAAACAGTATTGAAAAAGAACAACCTATTTTATTCAAAGAAAACGGAATTCAATTTATTATTAGTTGAACAGAATATTAAAAAAATATCTAACTATAATAAGTATATTTCGAATAGGGAGGGCAAATGGTGCAAATGGTGGAGCTTAATGAAAATCAAATAGACAGGGGCGGACCCGATCTAAGGACCAGTGAGGGTCTGGATATCGATTATGGGCGTGTACTTGAACAGTGGCGGACCCGATTTAAGGACCGGAGAGAGCCTGGATATCCATCAAGAGTGTGTACTTGAAGTGCGGATGGTATTGGCAATACTTTGACTGGAAATTATCAGGTACACAAAGGGAGTTAACTCCATTTAAAAATTGCTAATTAGGGAAAAGCACACAATAAATTTTTGTTGGAAGACGATGCTTGGTAAACTCATTAATAACTGAAACAAGTTGAATATTTAATAATGGGTTAAATACGTCTTTAGAATGATGTTAGATGAAGCGGAGGAAACGGGAGTACCCGGAGTTAACCCACGTGGTTGAGAAGGCACTCCTATCTCCAAGCCACATACGCTCATACCAGGAATCCAAACCACAGCCGCAAGCCAGAGGTGAACGGCCAGCTAGAGGTCGAAGCGCGGCACTCTAGACCACGGGCCATCCCAACCACTCTAAAGGGACCTGCAAGGTCACATGTTATTTATAAAACAGCCTTATTACCACCCGAGTATTTCACTACACTATGAGTAATAACATACCGCCCGAGTTACTCATTATACTACGAGTGACAATATACATTACGACAGTCCACAAACTCAACAGGATGTAACGAAATGAAATGAAATGAAATGGAGTTTAACGTCCTACTGTTCTGCTCCTAAACTAGGCGAATGAAGACGGGCATACGCCATATACAGTGTGCTATGAGGAAAATTTTGCCCGGGCAACGGCACCACACGGCCTACTCTTATATCGAATTCCAACTGCCAAGGGATCTTTTACGTGCACGCCAATGTGTACACGGGACCTCGGTATTTCGCCCCATCCGAACGACTAGAGAGCTGTCCTTGTCAGGCCCTCCGTCCTGCATCACTGACAAGGGGAAACCACGCTGGAAAAACAGGATGTAACACTACGGTGTATAACACTACGTTGTATAACATTCTCTTACCTTTAAGGGGAGCCATGCTAGCTCGCTAGCCTGGAGGACACGATTTCGCGGATGTCTAGTCGTTCGGGTGGGACAAAAAACCGAGGTCCCGTGTATACAGTGACATGCACGTTAAAGATCTCTTGACAGTTGGAATTCGATATAAGAGTAGAAATTAGCGCTGCTGTCTGGGCCAAATTTCACTCATAGTACACTGTATGGTGTATGCCCACCTTAATTAGCCCAGTCGCACGTTAAATATCATTTCATTTCATTTCGTTTAACTCTAAATGTTTAAATCACATGGCACCCTTATATTTATCACCCCTTTTAGTTAACTAAACCCCTAATCGTAGACGGAGATCATCGCGTCATCATTATTCACTTGCCTGCAAAACATCTATAGAACACAGAAAACTGACGGTAAAAAAAACCAAATCGTTTACAATACAGATCCCTTATTCACGAAAACTTAAACTAAGATAAAATCCAAATTTTAGTAATTTGATTGGATAATATTAGATTGATTTTAGTGCTTAGCCAATCAAAATTGAAGTATCTACTAAAATTTGGATTTTTATCTTTAGTTACGATTTCGAGAAACAGGGCCCAGATCCCAAAATACCGAGGCCCCGCGTTCACGTTGACTTGCAGTTGAAATTCATGAAAGAGTAGGCCGCTGTCGAGCTAAATGACCCTCATAGCACACTGTATGGCGTATGTCGGTCTTCATTAGCCCAGTCGGAGAGGGGACGCTAAACCCTATTTCATTTTTTTTTTGCTGATCACAAAATGGAACACGTATGCAAAAACTTCCTGATTCGTCGCATATTTGTAGAGATCGGATATCTTACTTGAGGACTACAATCTGAATAAAATACAGATCTAAATTTCGTTTCGTTTTTATACTTTCGATGGCCTACACTACATGAAGATCTGACCAGTTGTAGTGGAAGGTTGCGTCAGACGTCACAAGACCGACTTATGACCTATGACGTCAGACATTTGATTAACCAATCAGCATTGATGTTACTAGTGGATTACCCACAGTTCCGTGCAAAACACGCCTAAAGCTCGCCGTAACAGACCGTTTCATTTGCTTATCCCTGTAGCCCTATAGGTCTTTTGTCAGACGTGGAGAGCGGGCGAGAAAACCCATGCATCTTTTCTTACTACATATTTCTGTAGCCTTGTGATCGTCTAGAATTTGTCTCTAGCTGTCTTTACTTCTGCTTCACGTTGTGTATTTACTTCTTCCAGTTTCTTAAGACGTTTGTCTTACCAGGAATAATAATGCATAGTTCGCTTCTACATTTTATATAGCATATAACTGAATACAGGTATACAAGCATAGCACAAATTACAATACTATATAGCTAAAACCACTTCTCTACCCTAGCCAGCCTCGTGGCTGTCTAGGAACTCAGATGTAAGCCCTCTGGAACCTAATAGAAGTCTGACTTACAGGGTTCCCCGGTTTCTTTTAAAGGTAACTGAATATCATGCACAATAACGTGTGATCATGGCCCTGAACTTGTGTAATTAACAAAATGATTGGTTACTTTAAATCAAATGATGCAATTAGAATAATTCCACTCACGTGTAATTCTGGCGGTAAATGAGTGACATATGTTTTCGATAAATAGCTCTTTTTTATGTGTCAACTGTCAATTACAGACTAAGTTGATTTAAGTATTTTAAGTACATATCACATTTTATGCGAATATGTTATTTCTCGAGCAAAAATTCTAGCAATATTATTACATTCGTCCCTTCCTTTAAGACTTTTTGCTCGATATTGGGTTAAAGATCCCTTGAATCCTTTACAATAACCATACCAACATCTGTAGAATTATATAACTATTCATAAATGTAGCAGAAATCTAGAAAATCAACATATATCACCTCCCCCACTTGCAAGATTTATGCTAAATGAACAGGTAGGAGACTCTTAAAAACTTCTATGTGCTAAACCCTATAAT